TCCATGGGGTTATGTGTCAGATAAAGAGAGAAAGAGAGGCTGCTGCAGAGTTAGTCTGTCACACACTCACAAACAAATACACACACTTTCACTGTCACCGTCACACTGCCACTGCAATGCAGCGAGGAAAGCCGAAGAGGAAATCCTGGCTTTTAAAGTTTACCTTAAAAACCAAAACAATGTCATCATTTCCTCTTCTGTTTATTGTTGTTCCAGACATGTACTACTTACTTCCACCTCTAGAATCATATTTATTAAAACATATGTTCTTTTTTGTCCATAAAATTGAAGCCAGTGGGGGACTTTCATTGTACAATATGAAATAAAATACACTGACATTTATTTGAATAATATTTCATTTTTTCTTATCCTATCGGCAATTTTGGACATCCAAGATCAAGGCCTTTCTACTGAAATTGGCCATGAAATTTCTTTTCAAAGTCAACTGCTTGTCTCACCTTTTAATGATATACTTCACATTAGCAACAACATCTTACAACATGAACTGTCCCATAAATGTTGTTTCTTATTCTTGAATAGCAATAGAATTAAGCTTTAACTTTGAAATGTGTTTACACCAGTGATTTTAATATAAATTAAAAGTTAATTATTATAAATATAAGGATAGCTATATTTGCTTACACATCAGCGAATTGTATAACTAAGCCTTTTAAATGTAATGAAAATACATGTACATAATACTGCATGATCTTTTTTTATTTTTCCTAACACACCAAAAGATAAACAGATGTTTTTGACTAGATGACATTCTTCATTGACAAGAGAAGTTATATATACTTATTTAATAAGCTTAAACAAGAAACAATATATACTCCTGAACATTGCTGTAACCAGCAAACAACCTCAGCACACATTCCTAGTACTAATAAATGTATTGAAATAAAAAAAAGAAAGTGAACTTTTAAGAAGGCAAGATGTTTCAACTACTTTACTACCACTATCCATTCTAAAAAGAGTAACCAGTTGTTTTCCAGATATCTTCCAAAAGCTGCTTTGAAAGGAGTTTATGTTTTGCAAGTAGTGATGAGCTTTTCAGCAATTGTGTTCTGCAAATTTGTTGCATTTGCATAAATTTGTTGATATAAAAAGCGATGCAGTGGCGCAGTGGGTGCTCACTCGTTCGAGCTTAGGTTGGGTCAGTTGGCATTTCTGTGTGGAGTTTGCATGTTCTCCCCGTGTTTGTGTGGGTTTCCTCCGAGTGCTCCAGTTTCCCCCACAAGTCCAAAGACGAGCTATAGGTGAACTGGGTAAGCTAAATTGTCTGTAGTTTATGTGTGTAAATGAGAGTGTATGGTTGTGTCCCAGTGATTGGTTGCAGCCGGAAGGGCATCCACTGCATAAAACTTGGCGGTTCATTCCTCTGTGGCGCCCCCTGATGAATAAATGGACTTAGCCGAAAAAAAATGAGTGTTGAAATAAAACCCATATAACGATGGTTAACTTTTCCTAAATGTGTATATATTTAATTCTAACATTTTTATTTGATTAAAACGACAAAATACAAGAATTCAAAGTAGTTTCACCTTTAATGTCTCTATCGGTTAAATTGCACCTTGCATTTCAGCATCCATTACTTTTTCCTGTGCTTTTCAACCTGCTTGCCTTTGTTGCTGAGCAATTTTCTGAAACACATACCTGTAACTTTCTGACAGCAAAAACATTTCAAAGACAACATTTTTACTGCAGCAAAAGAAATGCACTCTCGCTTGCCAGACAAATCGACACACACACCTTTGGGGCAGTCCAACTCATTATATTAATACTGTACAGTCTAATATGAAGTCAGAATGATCATTAGGGTCTTTCTAGTACACTGTAAAACCCAACAGTCTACTTTATCAACTGAAATGAGTGTAGTTAACTCTAAATTTACTGAAAGTTAATTCTATTTATTGAAAAGAGTTTTGAATTCAATGTTAAAGTTAATGAGTTAATTAAATATCTTCACCTTAAATGAGGGGTCACACTTTACAATAAGGTTCATTAGTTAATGTTAATTAATGCATTTACTAACATGAACAAACAATGAACAATACATTTACTACTGTAATTGTTCATGTTAGTTAACGTTAGTTAATGAAAATACAGTAGTTCATTGTTAGTTCATGTTAACTCATGTTGCATTAACTAATGTTAACAAGCACGGCCTTGGATGTTAATAATGCATTAGTAAATGTTCAATTAGGATTAATAAATGCTGTACATGTGTTGTTCATGTTAGTAAATGCATTAACTAATGAACCTTATTGTAAAGTGTTACCAAATGGGGTAAGTTCACAGTACTTATATAGATTAGTTTTTGAACTCATGGTTTGTAGCAATCGTTTGCCCTAACTTATTGGGTTTTGCAGTACTTGGTTGAAGTTCTCCTCATTTATTTGGTTTTACTTTGCTCAGATTGCTTCGTTTACTCAAATGGATTAAGTTCACAGTGCTCATTAGGATTTGTTTTTGAACTTAAATAGTTTGTTGCAATCGGTTTCTTCAAATGGTTTGAGTTACCTTAACTTATATATTGTTGTTATAGAATTCTGCAGTTGGCTGTCTACGTCTTGCTATTTAGCTGAAAAAAATTATCAGTAGCTTGTTGTTGTTTTGTCTCTGGTTCTAAAATAATGGCCCATTCATTGTTGACACCTATCTTTTAAACAAACTAGGACAAAACAAAAATGTGCATGTATGCACAGTTAAAAAAAAATGCATTCTCAAGCATTAACTCTTATATTCCCAGATGATTACATCCATCACATTCTGTCCACCCTACTTTCATTTTTCTGCCTTTTTTCTTTGCTTTTCTAGCCTTTTTCACCTCCTCTCTGTAGATTCTGCACCTGTTAAAGAGTAATGGTGGTCCATCATCGCGCTCTCCTCTAATTGGCGTGATAACAGATGGCAGGTTGTGAGGGGGCACAAACATTGCATTTTTCCCTCCTTAGTGCTTCTCTATAATCATGTTGCAGTGAAAGCTGTAATGTTTATGAAAATGAATTGGAATCGTTTAATAACCAAGTCAGGGTGAAATATACCTCTCAAAGGCAATGCATGGCCGTTTCTCTAGGCTGTAGATGCAACTTTTGTGACCTGTGAGCCAAATCTAATCAGGGTATCATTGCACAGTTTCTTCTTACTGTGGATTGAAATGTAGTGATATTAGAGGGAAAGAGAAGAGATGCTGTCATGGAGAATACATGCACCATATATCCTTGTGAAGCTGTAATATCGCTTGATTGAACCATTTTGCTTTTGGCAGTTCAACTATTTTGTGTCCTTAAAGCTGCAGCTCTGCCATCCTCATGTAAAATGTAAAAAATTTTCACTGAATTTCTGTAAAGGGATTCCGATTATGACTATATTTCTTATAAACCAATTACACATTATGGCTATATATATATATATATATATATATATATATATATATATATATATATATATATATATATATATATATATAGATAGATAGTTCTGAAAGCAAAAGAGGGTCAAACCTGGTACTTGCAAGGTGTAATAAAGTGTCTAATATATACAGTACACACTCACCAGCCAGTTTATTAGGTACACCTAGTACTGGTTTGGACCCCTTTTTGCTTTAAGAACTGACTAAATCCTGCGTGGAATAGGTTTAATAAGGTACTTACATGTTGTTGACGCCAAATTCTGACCATCTGAATACCATTTGAATGTCGCAACAGAAATCGAGACTCATCAGACCAGGCCACTAAGAACAGGAAACTAAAGCTACAATTCACATAGCCTCACCAAAATTGAACAATTCCTTAGCTGACAGGAGTGGAATCCGGAGTGGTCTTCTGCTGCTGTAGCCTATCCGCCTCAAGGCTGGACGTGTTGTGTGTTCAGAGATGCTCTTCTGCACTCTTTTGGGGTGTAACAAGTGGCTATTTGAGTTACTGTTGTCTTTCTATCAGCTCAAACCAGTCTGGCCATTCTCCTCTGACCTCTGGCATCAACAAGGCATTTGCGCCCACTGAACTGCCGCTCACTGGATATTTTTTCTTTTTCTGGCCATTCTATGTAAATCCTAGAGATGGTTGTGCATGCAATTCTTATTAGTTTAACAGTTTCTGAAAAACTCAGACCAGCTCGTCTGGCACCAACAACCATGTCACGTTCAAAGTCACTTAAATCACCTTTCTTCCCCATTCTGAGGCTCGGTTTGAACTGCAGCAGATTGTCTAGACCATGTCTACATGCCTAAATGCATTGAGTTGTTATTGGCTGATTATAAATTTGCATTAATGAGCAGAAAGTGTACCTAATAAAGTGGCCGGTGCATGTATCTATGTCTGTATTCACACACACACACTACGGACAATTTAGCTTACCCGATTCACCATGCTTTTGGACTTGTGGGGGAAACCCGTGCACTCATAGGAAACCCACGCGAACACAGAGAGAACATGCAAACTCCACACAGAAGTGCCAACTGACCCAGCCGAGGCTCGAACAAGCGACCTTCTTGCCGTGAGGCGATTGTGCAACCCACTGCGCCACATGCTGCCCGTAATGCATTACCATTAGTTATATTTTTAACATACAGAATAACAATACCTTACTTATCTATATTGAGTTGAGCTTGAGGTGAAAGCATTTCAACATTTCAAACCAAATTGCACACTTCAGCTTTAAGTGAGGTATAAACTGTAGCCTTTTAGTTCTTTTCTATTGATTCTCAAACATTGATTTTTTTCACAGCTCTTGCAAATGTGGACACCACACCTTTTTTTTCTTCTAAATCTACGATTTCTTTTGCATTTCTTTTATTCAGTTTTGTTTCTCATTCAGTCTTATGAATAGGGGCATTTGTTTTTGTGGATGCACCACTTTATTACAAGATTCACAATTTTAAAAACACACATGAATGCTTTCACACACAGCCTGTGCTATAAAGCAGGTCTCCCCTGATTCCCGTGTGCAGTACAGTGTGTTCATGGATGTGTCTGCATTTGCTTCTGTGCCCACAGGGAGTTTGCAAAGGAGCGAGAGCGTGTGGAGAAAAGACAGGAGTTCTTAAAGCTGCGCAGACAACAGCAGATCGAAAGAGAGTTAACCGGATACCTGGAGTGGATCTGCAAGGCAGGTCAGTCTCCCAAATGTGTCTCTCATCTACATTAAAAGATGATCTATAATGCAAAGAGGTGTTTGAACACAGACGTGTGTCCACAGTGTGTTTAAATGACCAGATAATAATTATAAAAATCCAGTCACTCTTCTATTTTAATAATCCCCCTAAATCATAAACAGTCTCTCCAAATGCACATTTTAGATATTTCACTTAAGGCGAGTATATTTCCATGTAAAGTCCATATGGTAGGTCAGGCTTGCCATCGCACACCATTTGCCTTACCCTTAATCGAACCCTGATACACACCTTTAAAAAATTTAACTACACATCATAAGAATGTGGAGTACTAGAACTGTGATTGGCCAGCTTGGTAATGACATAATGTGTGGGTGGGGCCGAGAGCTTTGTAAGCGGAGCCTGGCTGATGATGGAAGTTATTTTGAGTCCTCACACTGTATAGCCATTTGACAGACATTTTACTTTTTATGGAAAATGTTTGCATAATTTTACTGACAGCTTCAGTTTTATTTTGAATAGACAACATATTAGTACAGAGTAGTAATTTGGTTAATGATCTGAATCACCTTTACTTCATAGCAACTGCCTATATTTCTCCACCAACCATTCAGAAACATCCTGGTGCATCTAGAAATTGTTACGTCTTCCTCTCCATCATTATCTGACTTGTCATTTCTGTCATTTTGGCTTCATGAGATTCACTTGTTTAGTTGTTTCATGAGTGTCTTTACCTTTAACTTTTAGATTTAGTGGCTAATACTTATGAATTTGTACAATCTCTTTTTTTTACAATTTAGTATGATTTGCTTATCCCTCACTGACGGCTGGGTTTAGGGGTGGGGTTGGGTGCCATGTCTCCTTTTATAAAATTATAAATTTTCATATGACTGAGCTTGTACGAATTCGTACAAATTAGCCACTAAACTGACTAAACGAAAAGTAGTTAAGTTTCCTCATGAGATCAGGCTGGACTAGCATGCAAAGGCTCCTCCCTCTTCTGGAAAGCAGAAGCTCATTTGCATTTTACCCTTGGATGCGTACATTCACATTGGTCTGATCAGTCTAGGTTGGTCCCTGGAGTGTTAGAACACACCGATCTGCTTTTTAGCAATGTCTGTTACTGACCCAGAGAAAGATTCACATTGATGAATCACAATGAATCACAAGTGTTTTTAAACAAATATTAATTTGTTTACTTATTTATTTATTAAGTATTAAAATATATTAAAATATTATTCATATTTTAGGTTTTGAACTTTTTAACACACTTAAGTATTAGCAAAACTATAAATTTTAATGTTGTAAAATGGATGCTGATGTCTGTGGAGAAGCAATAATAATTGTTTTAGACTTAAAATGTACAATGTGCTTTATTTACATCAGATAAATTCTGTTAGGTTACTAGAATGTATTTATTTCCTAGTTTAACAGCCACTTACTTTCATGTATTTCAAAAGACGTTGATGGATTGACATGTTGTAAATCCAGCAGCTCTAATCACTCCACTCTAATCTGTATTACCCATCATAAATCAAATAATACGAGCACTGTTAAGCTGTTTAAATGATCAAATACATAATCCTAAACTTATTTGAGAATCAGAATATCACGAATATTAGAAATATTTGAAGGAATCAGAGGTGACTTAGTGGCGCAGTAGGTAGTACTGTCTCCTCACAGCAAGAAGGTCGCTGGTTCGAGCCTCGGCTGCATGGGTCAGTTGGCATTTCTGTGTGTTTATATGTTCTTCCTGCATTTGTGTGGGTTTCCTCCAGGTTCTCCGGTTTCCCCTACAGTCTAAAGACATGTGGTTCAGGTGAATTGGGCAGGCTAAATTGTCCGTAGTGTATGAGTGTGAATGAGTGTGGATGTTTCCCAGAGATGGGTAGCAGCTGGAAGGGCATCCGCTGCGTAAAAACATGCTGGATAAGTTGGCGGTTAATAAAGGGACTAAGCCGAAAAGAAAATGAATGGATGATAAAAGAATCAGAAATATTTCACAATGTAATTAAGACTTTTGTCAATATTTGCAGAAAAGGGTCATATATACTGTAAACAAATCACTGGGCTCTAGTGTGTCACCTGATAAACTTGACGTGTCACCATGCAAACTTTCAAGCAATGCATTAATGATGCTCACATAAAAGAAACTCAAATGTGATAAGCTTTAATAAATGATCTGTGGGCTATTTCGAGCTGACCCATTCAGAGGACACCACAGATTTATTAAACATCTAATGGAAAGTGGAATAAAATGTCCCCTTTTTCTCAGAGGCATTCAGACACTCATGGCTGAACCTGAGAATGATCAACATCGCAGCCACCAGAAGGCCTCGGTCTGTTCCCTCGAGTGTTCTGTCCCCGTGTGTTTTCTCTCCCATGGCTGTTTATGTCACTCTTTTCGCCGGTCTCTGCTCGGCTGCGATGGGAGCTGATGTATTTGTGCTCGTCTGTTGCTCAGCACTTCCTCTCTCCATGGCAATCAGATAGCCTTCCACCCGCTCCACCAGCTGCTCCGTACACTCGGTCTGGCCATCACAGCTCTTCCATCAGCCCATGTAATAGGATTCAGGCACTGATTTCTGTGGCTGTAGATTTAAACTGACTTGTGTGTGGTGCAGAAATGGTCATTTCAAAACATAGATTTTACCTGTTTCACACATTTTGCATATACATGTAAAATTAATGCTATAGTTTTTTTTTTAGATCTTTTCCCCGTGAGTAGCTTGATGTTATGTCCATGAATGTCAGTGGAAAGTAGACATTCAGTAAAGCAGAATATGTTGCATGGTGAAATGAAGAGAAAAATACATTTAATGACTTGCATGATATTAAAGGTTTTGGGGAAAAAATCCCCTATGCTCACCAAAGTTGCATTTATTTGTTTTAAGTTTAGAAAAAAAAACATTAATATTGTGCAATATTATAACAGTTATATTTACATTATATATAGTGTAGGGTTATGGGATCACAGTATGAAATGCTGTGAAATGCTTAAAGGGGTGGTCTAGGGTGTATATTTAAGGCTTGGTTGTGTTTATAAGATGCAAATCAATGTTTGCTCATGCTTTATTTGTAGAAAATCACATTTTTTTTCATGTTTCTTACTTTAGTTTTATACTGCTACTCAGCTAACATGAAAACGTCTGTCATATTTCGTAGTTCCTCCAAAAGACTCACCTTCAAGAGGCTCTGATTAGTCAGCTAACATAATGTGCTGTTATTTACGGATCAGCTCCACATCACCATATCACCGCATCACCAGGAAACGTGTCACACCTCTACAAAGCAAGTGCTTTTGTTCTGTGTAAACAGTCAGTCGTTTACACTGCGCAAAAGCTGTTAGCTGTGTCAGTTTGTGCCTGAATCAGACAGAAAATGACACAGAGGACACAGCTGAACTTCACGCTGCCAAGTGTCGTTCACATATATTCGGGTTATAAGCATGTGTAGGTAATGTGAAACGTTCACATATCTTTTGCGTGTCATTTGAGACGTAGGAACACAGAGAAAGTGGTTGCATAAAGAGACACTGGAGTGCTGGTGAAGATTGTGGGTGTGTACAGCGGTGTTTACAGCGGTTAAACGATATGAAATTGTTGCTAAATTGTTAATGATTTCAAACAGCATTTCCTATTGTTTTCATCCTTGTTTACATCCACGCTACAACATACCCTTAACGCTAGAAACTGTGCAGGAAATTGATCAATTTTAACAAATAAAAATACTTACAGGTTTTGACTCACAATCCACAGGTCTATTATGGTTGAAGCTGCTCCTTCTCTAAGGAGTTTTTAGCCGAATCCAGCACAGAACTCGGAGAGATTCTAGAAGCTGTCCTTTGTCAAATGCTAGAGCTATATATTTTTTTATAATTCTCTGGAACATAATCAAAATTAAACCATGCACTTCTCTCTTTGTGTCATGTCCTTTGGAAGTCCAAATGTAGAAACAGAACAACCTCTGTGGAAATAGCAGCGTTTAGATGGCATTTTAGCTTTTTCTGCTACATTACAGAGCATCAGGCCACGCCCCTTCGCTGCACAGGGTATATGTGCATGGGAGAAGTGCGTAACCTGAAGCATTTGTGATCTCATTAGCCGTTTTTTTTTTTTTTGAAGCCCCCAAACTTTGTTCACTGTAATTTTGTAAATGCTAATAACTCCCTTTGCAATGAGCTTTGAGCGTATTATGTTCAGTAATGTTGTTTATGTTCACACAGCTACATAACACATGAACTAAAGTTTAAAATATGATATTGTAGTGACCACCCCTTTAAACAACTATTCATGGCCTTAAAAATAATAACAGAAATTAAAGTAATAACAATATGAGCTAAATAACGTAAATAATATCAATATAAAACCAACTGATAAATTAATAAGTATTAATAAACAACTGATATACTAGTAATATCCATTACCAAGAGTTATTAATGAATATATGTTCCCCAACATAAATCACTTTTAAAAAATATATTATTTTTGAAAGGTATCGACACAATCATGTACAGTACATACTTACATGGTTTATTAATATAAATAACTGATTTTCAGTGAAATTTCAGAATCCAGATAGTGTAACATGATGTTTAGGCTCTGTTTTGGATTTGACTTTAGTTCAGTGCAAATTAATGACTGTTTGGCTGTAAATGTGATGCTCTTCCTCACATAAATTAAATTTCATGAGGATGTAATGTAATCATTTATTGTGGCACACTTCCAGTAATCATTTTACAAATAATGACCCTTAATAACGGAAATACACCCTTGATTTTTTTTTTGGATGCACAAACAGAATGTATGAAATCCATCCTTGCCATGTTGCGATACAATAAATCAGCCGTAACAAAAATGAAGTGAGTTTTAGCTTAGTAAATGTTGTTGCTCTTTTATAGTTCTTCCTGCCATCCATTATCCAACACTGTAGTTCCTCTTCAGGTGGCACTGTTTCTTGTAAAACTTTTGATCCTCTATCAGCTCAGGGGTTAATTAGCTCTGTCACAGCGTGTTGTATCCTCTCTTTTGTTTCCCAGAAGTCCACTAGGGCTCTTCCGTGGGGATTTAATTGGCTTAGAGAGGTGATTTCCCAAAGTCCTCCATGGTGGCACAGCTTTGAAGTTTTAACACAGTAAATCATTATGGAATTAACTGCTTACAGGTGCTTTGACTTCTTCAGATATCTCGCTACCGCCATTATGGATTTCACTGCACTGTAGTGATTGAATTCCCATGCATCACTTCAGGCTACCTTTTACCTTGTAGTGGTTTCTATTTTCCGTGCAACCACCTATAAACACACTGGCAATCACATAACAATGCACTTTAACAACCACTTAGAATAGCTGTACCACTTACTGTAATAACCAAACACAAGAGAGCAAAACCTGTTCATTGTCATAAAAATAAACATGACTTAAATTGCAAACCTGTGTGAGTAGTAAAATGTTGTTGTTGTTGTTTTTTCAGAGGAAGTAATGCTTGCTGAAGAAGATAAAAATGCAGAGGACAAGGATGATGTTGCCTGGTACAAGAGGAAATGCAACAACCCAGGTAACTCTTGAAAAATTACATTTATTAATTAAAAGTGCAGAATATCTTAAGTCTTTTAATAATTACAGCCAATGATAGTAATAAATAAAGGTTCCACATGTGCACATGCACTAAATAAAGTCATTACATGAACTAGGTAGTTACAAGGTACTCTCCTAAAACTAATCTTAACCCATGTAAAGGGTTGCCTGGTCCAAATAAATATTCCAACCCAATGATAACTTAAAACCCACCCAAAAGGACAGAAAACATCCAGATTTTTGAGAGAGTGAATTAATGGATTGCCAAACTGGGAAAGATTTATCGTGTTTTCTCTGATATTTTGTGGTACACGTACTTGTAGATACAGTATGCTGACTTTTAGAACACCGAACAACACTTACAAGTACCTTAATCAGACAGAGATGTAACTGACATTCTGCTCATTTTATATGTGACGTGCCATAAGGTGGTTTTACTCGCTCACTTGGAGCAGACTTTGGGTTGCCAGGTATGTATTCTAGAATCAATGTCCATTAAGAAACCATCAGTTTTCATTTTGCATTCACAAGAAAGAAACATTTTGGTACCTGCGGCACGAAAGTAGCCCCCACAAAAAATGCATCCCACAACTATAATATATATAGAAATATATATATTATTGCAAGCCATTTATAACATATAACTATACAGTATATATTTGTTTTCTACTTAAAACAAACTACTTTTTATTTGCTTGCTTTTCAAAATTGTCAGTTTTGAAGCGGGCCAAGAAGAGCAAAAATGACCTCATCAATGCAGAGGAAGGAGAAGATCACTTTACTGACATCTCTTCAGTTGGTAAGTTCTAGGTTCAACTTAAAACTTATGCTGGAATTGATCTAAAGGGAACCATTACAGAAAATATTACAAATAAGCAGATTCAAACATTATGCTTTAAAGCACAGGTGTCAAATCCAGTTCCTGGAGGGCCGCAGTTCTGCACAGTTTAGTTTTAACCCTTATTAAACACACCTGATCAAACTAATTAAGTCATTCAGTCTTGTTTGAAACCTACAGGTAAAGCTGCAGTCACACTGCACTTTTCTCCCCATAGACTTCTATTCATACACACACGAATGCGTCAGACCGGAAACCCAAGGTTGTGTGTCAAGTTTCACAGTTTACTACATTGCAAAGTTCAAGCTTGGTGAACTCTGGGTTACGAAATCGCATCACCTGACTGCGTGAGACCAATCGAGAATTGAAACATGACATAAAATTGCTTCATAAAATATGGAGCAATCGCTTGCTTTTTTAAATGTTTAAACATCTTGTTTAATCCTGCCCATTTTCGCAGTGCCGTATGACAGAATTTTGCATGCTCAAACTCTAGTGTGACCACAGCTTAAGTGTGTTTAATTAGGGTTGGAACTAAACTGTGCAGAGCTGCGGCCCTCCAGGAACTGGATTTGACACATGTGCTTTAAAGCATAAGTCTCAAACTCAATGCCTGGGGGGTAGCTCTGCACAGTTTTGCTCCAACCCTAATTTTTTTTACAGCTGGTCCAACTAATCAAGATGTTCATTGATTTATTTGAACACCTCGATTATTTGGATCAGCTGTGTTTGATCAAGGTGGTGCAAAACTGTGCCGATCTGCGGCTCTCCAAGATTGGAGTGTGAGACCTATGCTTTAAAGTAACCACATTTTAACCACCAGCGGGTGTCTGTGTGTGTTTAATGTTTATCTGCCTAAAGAAAATCTGAAAAAAAAAACTTAAAATATTGTATATTTTATTTGTACCCTTTTCTTTATTTAAACTTGTTTCATTAGTGACTCCTGAAAATGGAATCAAGAATTATGAATGTAACTTTTTTTATTTATATTTTATTTAATTTGTATAAATTATAAGATCACGTGTCAAAAACTATAAAAAAAACCTTTTAATTTTGTTGTTACAGAGCTATTAAAAATATTGTCAATGCAAGTAAAACTTTGAGTTGTGCATTAAGTATTTTTAAAAAAGTGTGGCATCAAGCTTTTTCTCTTCTTCTCTCCATCATTTGTGAGCTATTGTGAACATCAGAAACAGTCTCTCTCTCTCTCTCTCTCTCTCTCTCTCTCTCTCTCTCTCTGCAGCTCCCCAAGGCTCTCCATTCACCCGCACAAGTGTGAAGAGCAGCAAGATTGAGAGCTTGTCGTACTTTCGCAGAAAAGAAAAGAGGTTTCGCTTCTTCATCCGCCGCATGGTGAAGGCTCAGAGTTTCTACTGGACTGTTCTGTGTATAGTGGGACTGAACACACTGTGTGTGGCCATAGTCCACTACGACCAGCCCGAATGGCTCACATATGCACTGTGTAAGAAAACTGAATCTTTTTAACACCACTACAGCTCTCTCTAGATAATCACAGGTTTATATGAACTTTATCTGAACATGTCTTGGGTACATTGAAAGCCGTTTAAAAGGAAAATCAAACCAAAACAAGTGCTTTGAAAAACTGCTGGTTGTATTTTATTATTAATACTTAGGTCACACTTTATCTTAATGGTCCGCTTGTTGAATTTAAGATACATTGCATCTACATGCAACTAATTCTCATTAAATTATAATTAGACTGTTAGATTAGGATTAGGGTTAGGATTAGTGTAAGTTAACATGTACTTGCAAAGTTTTTTATAGTCAGTTAAATGTCTGTTGAAAGAGCAGTATCAACAAATTTTAAACAGTCTATTAATACTTAAATGAATCATCAGAATTGTGTTACCAATACTTATCTCAAATCTAAGCATGAGTTTTTACCCTTGTAGTTTTAACGTAATTTAGTTTTGTATAACATTGACACTGTTGATGTGATTGGGCTTGTTTGTGAGCTAAAAGAATGATTCTTTGAGTTAAAAACTTATTTGAATTAATATATGATGATTTAATCGAATAGAGACACTGATCTATTATTGAAAATGTGCATTAATGAAAAGCAAATAGTAATGAAAAAGTAAACAGTGACTCTGTGTACTTTAAACATAAAAACATTCAAGTAAATATAGTAAATCCTGTACCATACAATATATATGAAAAATATTGAACAGCACAACTTTCTAAATAATAATATAATAATAAGAAATGTTTTTGAGCTTCAAATGCATGTATTAAAATGATTTCCGAATATTTATCTGACACTGAATCCTGAAGCGATGGGTGCTAAAAACTTTGATTTACCATTACAGGAACAATGTACATTTTACAATAATATTCAAACAATTAACAATTTTTTAAAATTGCAATACTATTATTTGAATATTAATTATCGAATTAATAATATTTATAATTGTAACAAATAAATGCTGCTTTGGTTTTTATTTTTATTTATTTATTTTATTTACTATTTGTGCACAGTACTTAATTACAATTCATACTTCAACTAGCTTCTGATACACAGTAAAAATTCCTTTGTGTCAGACTAGGGATGAAAATGACTAATAAGCATTGCCCCACCTTCTGCATATACATCTGGCTGCATGCCAACTGCTACTAATCATTAATTGGCATTTAGCAGATGCTTATTTCCATACAGTAGAGCATACAGTAGAGTCATGGCACTAATAGCTCTGCTAGAGATTTAATAGTCTTGCTCAAGGGCACAGTGTGATGGAGGTATATAATTCACCTCTTTTAAGGTTTAAATGCAAACTCTTTTGGCTAGAGCATCTGCCCAATTTTTTACCTGTGAGTCCACACCACTTTTGACCATTATGATGAGCCTGGATGATGCTTATACTTTAGCTCCGTTGACTGTTATTTACATTTACTTTAAATCTATTTAAGTGTAAAAATGTAAAAGTCAGTTGGTTAATTACATCTTTGTGACTGGTTATGTGAGATGAGAGATTTCATTGATAATTTGTGTGTGTGTGTGTCTATAGATTTGGCGGAGTTTGTGTTCCTTGGTCTGTTCCTAATAGAGATGAGTCTGAAGATGTATGGCCTCGGGCCCAGGACTTACTTTCACTCTTCATTTAACTGCTTTGACTTTGGGGTGAGTAACGTGCCATCGGATACAAAAGTTAATGCCCGAGAATTTGACTTACAATAAATGTGTAATGATTGTGAAATTCATTCCTAATCTTACGATATTGTATTACTTTATGGGGGTTGACAGAAAAGTGTTGTTACACCAGTTAAGAAGAATCTCCAGCTATTTAGCGTCTTGATTAAAACCCAACATTTATTAACCAAACATTTCTCCATTTTGTTAAAACAACAGCAGAGGTAATCAAATTTTTATCATGTTGTCTGTCTGTGTATGTTAACTAGGCTTTGAATTTTGGTTTGCATGTATGTAATTAAATCCAAATCTGAATTAAAACACTCTCTACCGCAGTCTGACTGTCAATGTAGCCAAGCCCCAAACTTTTACTGCTGGTCAAACTCAAAAGTGACAGATAGTTTTAAAAGTTGTTTAGAATTGAAGTTTAGAAAGTTGGCAGATTTGAGCAGAGCAGTCAATGATGCCAATAAGGCTCAGTGTTTACCTTTTGGGATAAACGCTTGACTGGCATACTTCTAATCAAAGAACAATAAATAATAAAAAAAAATACTTCAGCAAGATTTTGTGTATTTTTGTTTTTGTATTGAAGCAGATAATGCCATAAGTTTTGAGAAAAATCGTCACAATCATTTAAGGCTGCACATATAGAATAAGAAATGTCCCTAAAAATCCCTGTTCAAATTACTTCCTGAATCAAGGGGGTTATGTTCAGTCCACTTAAATATCTAAAATCAATTAAGTAAATTTAATTGATTTGTGATGAAACAACATGAAGGAGTTATGTGGAACCCAACTTTTTTTTTACAGTGTACTTAACATGTAAATTATTTGAATGTGCTTTGTTTCCAAGTATAAATAAAAGTGTATTTCTATTTGCTCAGGTGATTGTGGGGAGCATTTTCGAGGTGATCTGGGCTGCAGTAAAGCCAGGAGCTTCCTTTGGCATTAGTGTGTTGCGAGCTCTTCGTTTGCTAAGAATATTCAAGGTTACCAAGTAAGAAAATATTAAAAATATTAGAAAATTACCTGTTCATCTATTCTCCAACAGGGATCATATATACATACAATGACACTGTTGAATACTTGATACAGAGTATCTGATGGTTTGAAATGAAGGTTAGGTCCATTAACTGTCACCGTACTTTTTTGGTTCGCACATATGTACAATATCCTATATAATTTGTCAAGATAACTTAAAGCTTGGAATATTTTTTATGATTTACTATGTACTAAATATGTCCTACCTGTGCGACGGTGACATTTAGGGCATTAAACAGGATGTAAGATATTGAAACTGGTTTAAAATGACAAAAAATGTTTGATATAAGTGGATAAATGATGAAATGAAAATTTTAATATTTCTAAGGCATAACAATCAGTCCTATCCATTGTGTAGACATTTTAACAGTGACTACGTTAACATGGACATCAGTGATCAAATTATTTGCCCTGATCTAATTAAGAGAATAATAAGACATAAGTATTTATATGAGTTGCTTTTTGAATGTTCCTTTCATGATCCCATTTTACATGTGATAGCATATATTTCGATGAACGTCATTGCGTCACCACGATTTCCGCATTTCCCCCGGAGTTTCATGTGATTTTGGGTATTTCATTTTTAATATGAAATAACTTTAATAACTTTAGCTGCAGTTTGGCACTTTCACTTTCATTTGGGAACATTTCATGCATGCCCCCATGACAAACAAGATATTTAATGCAACTAAGAACTGCTGGAAGAGTGTTGTTTTAATGGAAGTTTTTTAAGAAAGAAAAACTCTGCATTTCACAATGCAGGTGCCTGTGGTCTTCACTGACTCGGTAGGTGCAAAGAGTGTGTGAGTGTGTGTGTATGTGTGTACTATCCTGTTGCAAAACGCGGCAAAAAGTCCTATTCAAAAGTCCTATATAATTATAATGTTTATTTGTATACCGATTGGTTTGGGGTTTTCACAGTGATGTATTATGTTTTGGTCACTTGGGCATACCTGGCAGCTGCTAGCAAATAAAGCACGTGCACACAGGTGTCAGGAAGAGAAAATGACAGTGGGGTAGCCAAATTTTTTGTTGATCGCCACCCACAACCCTATATCACTACACGCCACACTACAACGCAACAATCAGCCTTTAACACCATACGTAACAGGTATTCAACCCACAAATTGCTGTTTGTTATGTCATGTTTCAAATGTATTTCAAGTTTTGCTACTAACATCTTGGGCTCAGCATGTCTGTCTCAGCCACTAGCCCGTCACAAATCAAAGGACCCTCGCTGCTTCTCTAGCGAATAAAGGAGAAATCAGGAAGTTGCAATTGTTCGATTAAGGGGTTTACATGTCTGTACTGCACTTCAATAATGTGACTAAAATCTAAAAACTCCACATGTCTCAATTCCACTTCTCTTTAGTTTTAATCTGATTAAATAACAAAAAAATCGCTGTTTACATGGTAGAATCAGAGTATTGTCTTAATCGCATTAAAATCTAATTATTGGTGTCCATGTAAACGTACTGTGTTAATTATGTACCATATCAGAGTCAAAGTATTTCGCTTTCTAAACTAAGTTGTTATGGGATGCCCTGGCAGGTATTGGAACTCATTGAGGAATCTGGTAGTGTCTCTGCTCAACTCAATGAAGTCCATCATTAGTCTCCTGTTTCTGCTGTTCCTCTTCATCGTGGTGTTTGCTCTGTTGGGAATGCAGCTCTTTGGGGGACAGTAAGTACCAGGCTGACCTCACTGTAATTATTCCATGTTCTTTACATTGTTTTTGCTCTGTATGTTTTTGTTAACTGTATGTTTTACAATAGACAAGTCGACACAGTGTCTTGGTGTTTTCAGCACATCACCTGAATGAAAACTAAATCCTACAGTAAATATAAAGCAAACAGAACATATAGTGTTATGTTCATTAGTAACATGAAGTCTAAACAAATTTTCAAAGCAAAAGTGAAACTAAATGCATTCTCAATGGGAAATGTTTCGTCTCTCTCTCATTGGTGTGAAACCAAATGTTTCACTTTCTTTCACATTCTTCAGTATCTGAACTGGCGTGCATTTCCAAAACAACGATGTAACTCGCGGCTGAACTATCATAGTACGATTGGGAAAAGAACGATGTAGTGACGAGTGTTTCCCAAAACCTGTGAGTAAAAACTTCTTTAGAGAAGAACCCCATAATTTCTTTGTGCAAATTATATTGTTTTACATGCACGCGCATAAAAAAAAATCCAATATTAGTTTTGATAAAAACATGCACTCGTTTTCCATATTAATTGAAATATATGTAAATGGCACATATAGGGCCTATGTTTCCTTTACAAATATTATTGAGAACATTCTATATTCTATTCTAAACCATAAAATCCCTTACAAAAGCTAACACGTGTTATAATATCATATATGAATCATATAAATAAATTAATAATGAGGCTATATATAAAAAATGAAATTTAATATTTATTAGAAAATGAAGAAAATCCTTCTTTAATAATAATATTAATAATATTAAGTATGATGATGATGATTACTACTATTATTATTATTATTATTATTATTATTATTATTATTATTATTAGATAGGATATTGTTTATTTATTTATTTTTTTAAGAGACTACAATTTAACTCATGCAAACCACTGCAGAAATGTTCTAACCAACAGGCCCATGTCATATACACTACAGATACTTAATAAATAACCTACTATAAAATAAAAGCATTAACATATGCTAAGTTTTCTGTTTTCACAAGCTTTGGAGACGTAACAACATGAGCAACGGCTGTGTTCAAAATGACATTAATGTTTTTAAAGTGAACTGCGATGGGAGCACAATTGTAAACATGAAGATCGTTAAAACTCAAACATCAAAGAGTGATGAAGTTAATGCTTTAAAAAAAATTCCAAGTTTAAATGTTAGAATGTTCTAAATGAATAGGGCATAAGGGGGATAATTGGGAATAGAACACAGCCATGAACAATGTTTCTAACTACAGCTCCAGAGGTGTAGTTGCAAGCGTACAAGTTTGCGACGCAGTTTGTGAATGTATATTGGAACAATGGATTTGGGAAACGCCAAATCAATGAACTATGTTTGTAATGACGGAACTTGCGACCTTAGTTGATTAACGAAGGTTTTCGGAAGTGCACCCCTGTGAAGGAAAAGTGGTATTCGCATATATATACCATAAGCAATATTTGATTATTAGTGTTCAGATAATAGGAGATTGTTTTTAAAGGTTTTCTAATTCAGTTGACTTGCTCTCAGCAGACCATCATTCACAAGAAGTCAACTACGGTAAAAAGATTAGGTCCCACTTTATATTAAGTGGTCTTAACTAATATGTACTTACACAGGAATTAATAGTTTGCTACAATGTACTTATTGTTTAAATACATGTATTTATTATGTACGGATGCTTGATTAAATACCTGTATGTAATTAACTTCTGTAATTAACATCTGTAATTAACTTCTGTAATTACATTTGTAAATATACTCTTGACCATCCCTTACACCTTAACCCACCCTTAAACCTACCCATACCACCAAGCCTGTCCATAACCCAACCCCTATCCTAACTCAAGAGCACCAAAAGTGTTCTCAAATACATTATGAACAAGTAAGTAAATAGTATTTATTTTTTGATGCAAGTACATAGTAGTTAAGGACACTTAATATAAAGTGGGACCTAAGATAATAAGTATTTAACAAATATTCCAAAACTAGCTTCTATTGTATCAAGAGTAAGGTGAATGCCTGCCTGTATACTGTCAAAAAGCTATAGGAAGCATTTGTCCTGCTTAAAGTAGCTTATTTAATTTGATGGCCTAACTATGCACAATTATATGGTTAGTTGAATTTATTGTGTTACTCTCTACAAACAGAACAGACCCATGACTCACTTTTCGCAACCCTCCAGTTGTGAACTGCTGATGAACACTTTTTTTTTCAGAGCACTTGTGTGATGTACATTACTTTCCTCTAAAAATGCATAAATCGTCTCTTGACGCTGAAACAAAACAAAACAAACTCCTAATCGTTTACGTTCCCCTTGCATAAGCAGCCGTGAGTCTTCCAAGCCCTGCCGTTTCATTTACCCCTCAGCCACATGTTAACAAACATGAGTGAGCAGATCCAGACGGCGCAAGCATTCGTTTCTCAGTTCCATGAATTATTAATCGTACGCTTCAACAGAGGAATTGCCTCTACACACGCTTCCCATGAGGTAAATATCAGCTTAGATGCACAAATATGCTGTCATGTGAGCTACTGTAATGAGAAGAGCGCCAGATAAACAAATAGTCGATCCAAAATGAGAAAATGTTATTGAAACATAACAATGTGAGAATAGCTGCAGGACAGACAATTCCCTTCTGATAGTGGTGAAGTCCTTCCAGATCTTTGCTTAGTCAAATGAAAAATTGGTTTTGTGCCTCTCTAATACTCGATTTCAGCTCCATGGCACATTAATATTGAAGATTGAAGATAGACATGATAAACTGACTGTCTGAACCTTGAAGTCATTTTGTGGGTTGGATGTGAGAGACAGTGTCGTACTTCAGGTTGGCAAGCAATCCTTTGCGTAAACACTGAAAACAATGAGACCAGATAAAAAATTTAAAGCGGTAATGAGTGTGTGTATGCTGGTGCATCATATAAAAATGTGATTTTAAAAGATAGATTTTTCAGGGGTTTACTTTTACAATGAGCACTGTGTACAGTATATACACATATGCATGCACAAATGCACACACGTGTCCATGTGTACATCCATATGCAGTACATATACAGTGCTCTTTTAAATTAATATTTTTGATAGGAAACTATATATTATATTTATGCATATCAGTGGTGTAAAATAACAAATTACAAACACTCAAATTACTGTAATTAAGTAGTTTTTCTTAGGAATTGTAATTTACTGAGTGTTTTTTAAAGTGTTTACTTTTACTTTCCCTAGAGCAAATTTTTTAGTGCAGTATCGGTACTTTGGATTTGGATCACTTTCTAACACCCAAAATATCAACGTCATTTGATGTCATGATTGGACATCAAAATAACATTGTCCTTATATGCTGGCTAGACATTAAATTTTGATCATCTGACATCACAACCTAAATCAAACCTAATATAACTTAGGATAATTGTGTGCCTTGTGTGCCTGCTGGGTAATAACTAAATGCGCTACAGAATGTTACGTTTACGCTTATCTACAAATTACATGTAAATGCATTATCTTTTTACAGCGTAATAACCCTGGATTAATAAAAGGGACTAAGCCGAAAAGAAAATGAATGAATAAAGGAGTTCATAATTTTTTTTGTAATATTTCGCTAAAATGTAAATGTGTTATCTTTCTAAAGGTGTTCGGTGACTAAAATAATATTTTAATAAATATATCGGTTTTGTTAAAATGCACCAGTATATAATACTTATATATTCACTGAGAAATGGATAAAATATTCATTTTCTAAATGGGGTGTACTCAATTATGCTGAGCACAGTATATATGTATATGTTTTGGTTATTTTTTTTTGTGTTTGTCTGTTTAGTTGTGAAATTTGTAGATATGAAAGAGAACTGAATTCATTATTGTGGTGCTAAACAGCATGCATCTCATGTGATACCCTTCTTTCGTTTCACTTTCACCCTGAGTAACAGCATATGTTGCAGATTCTTCAAAAAAAGTAGTAAATTGCAAATTATAGTACTGATAGTTTATGTAAACAAGCCACTTTACTTCTTATACGTTTGTTACATTAGCTATGTATCTATCCAAAAATGTGAATTAACTTTATGTGCAAAACTGGAGTATTGCATAAAACATGTTCGAATAAAGCACCGTTTCTATTCAACGAGTCAAAGCGAACAAAATCGTCACTTCCTGATAAACTGGTGCCAAATATCAACAGTAAAAATGAAATTTGCTGCGGTTCGGAGAAGCTGCGTGAATTTTTTCTTCATTTAATAAATGGATTGCACCTCAGAAGGCAATCCTGACAAGCAGTGAACACGCGCTGGCATTTGAAACCATGAGATGCAGAACGCAGATGCTCTTGACTGTTCTGGAGGTACTTAATAATATAATAACACTAATAGTGAAGGCATTTTAAAATGACCAAAACAACATTTCAGATGTATTACAATGCTCAGCCTTCTGGTTTGTCCAATCACACAAATTTTTATAATCACATGATCTCTTGTAGCAAAATCACAGGACTTTTTTAATGGGCACACTGGAATTTGTTTGGTAAAAGGGTTTCCATCGTAGTTTATGCGCATCTTTTCTTATTGAATAAAAAGTTTATCCTACTCAGTTATGTGCATACATTTTTTATGCACATTTTTAAGTTATGCGCATCTTGTCGTTTCCATCAACTGTTTTTTATTCCCATAGCCAAAAAGTGCATAAAAGTGGGTGGATGGAAACAGCTATTGTCACTTACTTTGGTTTCTTCATTTATACCCTGTTCATTGTTGTACTGGTTGTATGTGCCTGTTGACGAATAATAGCCATATATGTGAATTTTAAACCAATGAGATTTCACTGTACACTGTGCTTTCTAGCACATCAAAAAGCCAAAAGATTTTGGCTGATGAAAGTAATTAAATGTATCAGTTTTTCACTACTGTAAATTCTAGTTAAACATCAGAGTGTCTGAAGGTTTTGTGAAATTATAATAGTTTTTTTGGATATGACTATAAAAAAATAATTTACTGAATGTTATGAATGATATATCAGAAACATAATATTATGCACAAAATCATGACATTTCTGTAGTTCACTACATTCCTTCACTTGTTTATAGTAATCAAAGTTCACTCTGTATTTTTAGTGTACTTTATTATGCAGAATGAAAAGGAACAGTGTTTGGCCAAAGAAAGGAATCATTTTTATTTTCTAGGATAACATAAGCCCTTGGTAGTGAGATGCTCTTATTGGTAGAGTTTCTTCTACCGTTTCAATCATGTCTTGTAGTAATGAGGCTTCTGCAGAGCCCTTGAGAGTGTACATGAGGAGATTGGCAAAATAAGACAGCATATTTATTGTGTTTTTGTTATTTGTTCCAGAGATGCATAGAAGTGGATTCTGCTCAACGTTTATATGCAGATGAAGTGAAACATTATTATTGGAACATATCAGTAGTTTTTGTGAGCAATCAAAATGAAATAAATGAAGGACTTTGAAATTAGAGCAAAGCTGGCTCATGAGCACACGAGAGGCTCATCCAAGAAAAATGATTCACAGCTCATCATCTCTCTCTTCTAGGTTTAATTTTGAAGACGAGACCCCGACAACCAACTTTGACACATTCCCAGCTGCTATCTTGACAGTGTTTCAGGTATTGACCATCTGGTGATGTCTATCATAGGTTATCTGTAGTATTTTCCCAACATGTTTTATCTTATTTTAAAGATTTTGACTGGAGAGGACTGGAACGCTGTGATGTATCATGGGATTGAATCGCAGGGCGGAGTGCACCGGGGAATGTTCTGCTCCGTGTACTTCATCGTGCTCACGCTGTTTGGAAACTGTATCCTTTACATGACATAAAACTAAAATCAATTAAATTCTATTAAATCACCTTAAAAAGTATTAAGTCAAGGTTGTAACCATTAGTGTGTGCCATTTTGTGTAGCCTATGCGTTATTGCATGCTGTTTTTGTAAAAATAAAAGTAAAAATTGTGCAAGTAGAGTGCTTACTGGAAATTTAAAATGTTTAGATGAGCCCAGATGATGCTTTTACCGTATTTAACCAAAAATTGGAAAATATAGATGGGCAGATCTTTCAGACTCCAATGATTAATTTCAAAATAAGCTTATAAAGTTTATACACTATGGCGAAGTGCATAATGTATGTTGTGTGTCATTTGGCACACTTTTGTCAAACATTATGCTAGAAGCCAGATCAGCCTTTTTGTTATCTGAACAAAAAACAGAGCTTCATTAATTAGAATAATAAATATTAAATAATAACTTACTTTTTATGAAGTTATTCAGTATATGTGCAGCACGGTGGCTCAGTGGTTAGCACTTTCGCCTCACAGCAAGAAGGTTGCTGGTTGAAGTCCCGGCTAGGTCAGTTGGCATTTCTGTTTGGAGTTTGCATGTTCTCCCCGTGTTTGTGTGAGTTCCGGGTGCACACGTGCTATAGGTGAATTGAATAAGCTTAATTGGCTGTAGTGTATGTGTGTGAATGGGTGTTTCCCAGTACTGGGTTGTGGCTGGAAGGGTATCCGCTGCGTAAAGCATATGCTGGATAAGTTGGCAGTTCATTCCACTGTGGCGACCTCTGATAAAGAAAAGGATTAGGCTGAAGGTAAATGAATGAATGAATGACAGTATATGTAGAGATATTGTTTTTGCTGACTTTCCCTCCTCCATTTACAGATAGGAGCTGTAGGCTGTATTTTAGGAATAATGTATAACAGAATGAAGCATTTGTTATTTACTTATTATAATTTGTGGACGTAAGGATTTATTTATTCATTCTTTTTTTGGAAAGTCAGTCAATAAGTCAAAACTGTGATAATGTAACGTGGTACAGCATTACTCTTTAAAATAACTTTTTTCTTTTAAAAAAAAATCCATTTGACTTTTTCTATGTTAATACATTTTAATATACAAGTCAGTTGTATGATGGCACAGCTGAATTTTTCATCACTCATGCTTGAAAATAATTGTGTTCCCAACTTTTCTGGTCAATTTCTGAATATAGAAAGGTCAAAATGAAAGTATAAATATTTTGTAATATTATAAATGTCATATTTTATCAAAACTTGTTGAATAAAATTGCTGATTTCTTTAAAAATATCTGACGCCAAAATATTGAAACATAGTGTATGTGTTAAAAACGTCATAACAAAACCACCAACCTGTTTGACTACTTTATTAGATGGCCACTTTCATCCAGATTCCTTAAAGCACATTTAACCAGACACTCTCCTCAATGTCTTTTTGGCCATCGCTGTTGATAACCTTGCCAATGCACAAGAACTCACCAAGGTTAGTTGGGCATATTTGAAACATACATATGTGGCCAATATTTATGCATTATTAACATTATCAAACAAATGTCAACCCCTGCTGAGTTCGAGAGAGTAATACATGCATTTATGTTTTTGCGAGTGGTCTAAAATGCAGCTGCTAGTCTTCTTACTGGCACTGGTACATTTGAGCACATTACCCCTTCTCTCTGCGCTGGTTGCTGGCCAGTTTTAGAATAGAGTTTAAAGATATACTCTTTGTATTTAAATGTCTGTCACCTTCTTATTGCTCTGAACTTGTGACTGTTAATATATCTGCTAGATGTTTAAGGTCATCAAGTCTGAAATTTTCCCAGGTTCCCAGATAGAACGTTGAAGTAAAAAGGAGACCGGGCTTTTGCCAGTGTGGACTCCAAATTGTGGATTAGTCTACCTCTTTAATAATCTCCACAGAATCTATTTTCAAGGGGAAATTAAAAACTTTTTAGAAAAGGCTTTTAATACCCGAGTCATTTGAGCTTGCTTTTTTTCTTTTATACATGTCATGCTTTAAGTATTGTATGTTGTTTTATTCCTTTGATCTAATCAGACAATTTTTATTCAATTTGTGTACAGCCCCAGTGGTGCATGCAGCCGTATAGCTATACTCACTGTGCGTACCTACCAAGAGAGGGCACATATGATGCCACTTTTTTGTTTATTTATTTTTTACATAATTTAAATTGATTATTAAACAGTATACACTACAAAATATTGACAGTGCATAAAATAATGAGAATAAATAAAGGTCTGCGTTTATATACTTTAAACTCTGTATGTACTTGCATGATGGGAGATGGGTAAAGAAATCTATTGGCTTTAGTTTTCTGGTGGTTTTTCAGCACACTAGCACACTAAAAATACAATTCAGATAGCTGTTGTTTAAAACAAGGTCCATTCAAAATGTGTAAACGCTCTTTAAAACCGCTAAACTTAACTGAGACATTTGCTAAAAGGCAACTATAATTTAATTTAGGCTAGATTATTATTTTATGTTTTGGCTCTGAAACACATTTATTTGCAAATGTTTTAATGTCATCATTTTAAAGATTATGTCTTGAGGACCTGATTTTTCCTCAGTGCTGATTTGCTTTTATTTTCTCTGTCTTACTCACGGCAAGTTTAGGTGTGGGAGTGTTTAAGCAACCCTGACAGGAAAATATACAATTAGATTAAAAAATATATATATTAATATTAAAAAAAGAAACATTGGTTTGATCCTATCAATGTAGTAATAAATGTCCTTCAATAATGATTAAAATAAGAATAAGAGATGATGGGGTAGGGTGGTGCTGGAAATGTGCGTACCTTGGAATAAAATCCTGCAGGTGACCCTGTACAGCACTGTACAGGTTTTTATTTTGTGTTATATAAATAAAATATGTAAGTAAGTAGGTATTTGTCTTCTACCACTGATATCAGCCATCCATAGTACCACACACACCCCATGAGTCTCGCATGTTGTGTCTACTCACTATATGATCCTATCTGACAGCTTTTATTAGTTTCATAAGACTGTCTGTTAGGGCTCTTTTGATCTGACTGATGTTCGCCCTGTTCAATAACTCAAGGTAATGAAGCTTTCGTCCCGCTGTAGGATTTACAGCCTCACATGAAGACGGTACCAACAGTATATAGGCTGTAAAGCTCTTGGGACATCACTTGATTTGTTAAGGGTAGCAGTGCTTGGCATGAGATGCAAATTTATATTCGACTGTCGTTCACTTTTTCCTCTTTTCCAGGATGAGGAGGAGCAAGAGGAGGCTATCAGTAAGAAACTGGCTCTACAGAAAGCCAAGGAGGTAAAGGAGGTCAGCCCCATGTCGGCAGCTAACATTTCCATCACAGCGTAAGTCACAGGGCATTAAACCTGAAGTCAGGGAACTGCCCTCCTCTTTAACCAACCCTCCCTGTTCATCACCCCATCATGTCTTCTCATTGCTTTTTTATGCATCCCAAGAACCATATTTCGGTTTGTCCCTGAAAGCACATTTCTGGGTATTGGTTTTGTTGATTTCCTGTTGTCACTTTTATTTCATCTTTGTAAGACTATGTGTTCTCTGTTCTCACCCATAGTTGGTTGTCTTTTCTCTGAAATGAAGTTTGTACTTGATTCACCTAGGCTTTGAGGAAATCTAAGTATTTTTATTTTCTCTTGCTGAGTCCATCTGACAAATCAACATCCCAGGCTCAGGAAAAATGTGTGCCTGTGGTGACATTTTGGCAGAATAATACTACTTGGCTTCTTGCACATTTCACATTGCATTCAAAGAGAAATGTCCTGTGAATGCAACTATAAAACATGTTAGATATTCCCAGAAACAGATATACGTGACTGTGGCAGTGTTTTATGGTATTTCATGCGCATATAGCAGTACTTTATAGAAATAGTGGTATATCAAAGGGATAGTTCACCCAAAAATGAAACTTTACTTACTATTTACTCCAAACCTTAATGAGTTTCTTTCTTCTATTTAAAACTAAGGACAATATTTTGAAGAAACCTGAATATCTGTAACCAGTAGCACAAACAAATACTGTAGAAGTCAATGAATACAGGTTTTCAGTTTTCTTTAAAATATCGTCACAAGGAATAAATGGGGAATGAGTAAATGATTACATTATTTTCATTTGGATTATCTCTTTATATTGCTGACAGGTGCCACTAAAAGTTGATGCTTTATAGTGTTAAACAATAACACAGCTCCTATACGAAACCTAAGTCTGAACCATGTGTTCAAAATTCAATTCCTGCTTCCTCCTAAAGCTAAACCTGAACCTCTTGCTCTAATCATGCTAAAAAAGTCTGATAAAATGTATTATTTTGAAACAGCTGTTAAATTTTTACTTGTTTTTACATGAGAAAGCATGACGGGATACATTGCTTACTGCTTCTAGTGTTGTTCATTGTAAATTTTTGGTGTTTTGCTAAAATGCTGGTAGAGGTACATTTATTTCCAATGAGCCTGGGCAGCAATGCAGTTTACAGTTTATTAGATTGAATCAGATTTTATTCAAGTTTATTTGCTTGAAAATATACTTTATATACTTGTATACTATAATTATAACTACTTTTCAATGTTAAAGTATCCTATTAAAGTGCAATTTCAATTACAAATTGTAAATTTTTTAACATATTTGATCAGCCACAATTCTGACTATTGGTGTTAAGCGTGCTTTCCAATATCTGTGATGACTATTATATAGCTCTAAATGTGACTTTTATGTATAATTTCTCAGGGTCTTGTTCTACAAAACACACTTTTTGTGATATTTTATTGTTAATATTTTATTCATTAGTTTGGTTTATTATGAAGAACATGTTTTCCAAGAGTTAAAATATCAACTATTTTTGATAATTTATTTTTTATTTATCAATCAATTATTTAATAGAGTATTTCATGTTCCTGGAATTGAAATGTCTTTTTTAATACACTATCTGACAAAATACGCCTATCCAAGTTTTAGGAACAACAAATAATAACTTGACTTCTAGTTGATCATTTGGTAAGCAGCTTAAATGAAAGGGCAAAGGTCTCTATATTATGCTTATTTTGCTAAAATAAAATACAATCATGTCTTGATTTTTAATAATTTAATTAGGACAGTAAGGTCTGACTTTGCTCAGACAAAAGTCTTGTTACTTAACATAAATAATGAACAGTATAGAATATTAAGTCATGTTGCAGTGGAAAAAGAATTAATGTTGTGTATGACTCCCATGAGCTTGGACGACTGCATCCATACATGTTTGCAATGACTCAAATCACTTACTAATACAGTCATCTGGAATGGAAAAGAAAACATTCTTGCAGGACTCCCAGAGTTCATCAAGATTCTTTGGATTCATCTTCAATGCCTCCTCTTTCATCTTACCCCAGACACGCTCAATAATGTTCATGTTTGGTGACTGGGTTGACCAATCCTCTAGCACCTTGACCTTCTTTGCTTTTAGAAACTTTGGAGGCTGAAGTATAAGAAGTGCACTCCTGCTGAAGAATTTACCTTCTTCTGTGGTTTGTAATGTAATGGGCAGCACGAATGTCTTAATACCTTAGGCTGTTGTTGTTGCCATCCACTCTGCAGATCTCTTGCATGCCTCCATACTGAATGTAACCCCAAACCATGATTTTTCCTTCATCAAACTTGACTGATTTCTATGAAAAACGTGGGGCTATGCGTGTTCCAATAGGTCTTCTGCAGTATTTGTGATGATTAGGGTGCAGTTCAACAGATTATTCATTGGAAAAAAAAATCTACCTTCTGCTACTTTTTCAAATGATCAACTAGAAGTTATCATTTGTTGCTCTTACAACCGGTCTCAACGACAAGACTTTTGTCAGATAATGTACCATAATGCCTTCTCACCTGGTTTATTTTCATTCTACTTTTAAGTCATACTGTTGTTGACATGTACTTCCCTTTGAGTTGGGCGGAGTTAGAGTCAGAGTGATTGACAACTGTTGTCCCGCCCTGCCACTGACTCCACCCCCACAAAAACTATTTCTTTCCCCTCTCATGGTTTTTGTTTTTGGCATATGCAGTTTTATAAGGCCAAACCCTGGTGCTCTTTCATGCAGCTCCTCCAACTCCAGCTCTCATTCACCGTGAGTTCATTTACTCTCTGTTCAAATCTTTTTTTTTCTCCTCCTCTGTCCAAGCACACTGCTTTTGCATGATGCCAGACAGCCAAACTAAAGCTGCGTCCCAAATGGCACACTATACACTATGCACTCATGCACTATGTACTTATGCACTTACACACTCAACAGGGTAGTATATGTATGTAGTGTCGTCCCAAATGGCACACTAATGTTTTTTTACTTAGCGGAAATTCAAACCGTTTCCCTGATGACGTTTGATTGTTGCCAAATCATTGAAGTAAACGGCCGAATTATCAAATAATACCTGCCGTGAGTATTGCCGCAATCACTATCGGGAGGCGCTATAATCACTCTCGTAAAAGAATTTTGCTTTCACCATCCAAATTAAATAAAGTTATTCAACATGTGCGTCCGATAGCTCCGCCTCTTCCGCTACGTAAGCAAACCTGCGGTCGTTGAGTGCGTGAAGTGTCCATCATTACACACTTAATTTTAGCGGCTGAATGAGTGCATCATCCGGGTAATTAAAGTGCACTTATTATTTTTAGAGTTTTCAGTGTGAACGCACTACTTACACTATTTATACTACAAAATGGCGTAGAATAGTGCACAAGTATGCGATTTGGGACGCAGCTTAAGTCTCACTGACAAAAGCAGCTCACAATTTAAAAGGTGACTGAGGAAAACTTATACAGAGTAGGACATATAAAATAACATAAAAACATTGAAGTAAAATTTAGAGTGGATTCAGAAATTTCTTTAATGATTCTATAACAATATGCATGTTCTTAGATATCACTAACAGGGGATCACAGCTGAAACCGCATAGATTTTATTTTTAAAGTTAACCAGAAAATTAAGTAACAGAGAAAATAAAATATAAGTATAAAAATAAACAAATTTGTAGCTCTAATTAATTCAAACTGTATTTTTATTTGGAGCTGATTTAATTGAGAAATATAATTTTTAAAAGTATATTTCTTATGCTTATATTAATATTTTAATATCCATTCATTAAAAGTGCTCATTTATGAAATTTTTTTTGAAGTGTTGCTGTAAAAATATTTGTATTAAGTAAACCAACAGTTCATATTAATGTAAGGCAGCTACATCAGTTGATTAGCTATTTGATGTGGTGTTATTTAGTTTTTCAATTTATGTTTGCCGCATTTCTTTAGCTAGTGGGTCAGACAAGTGTCTGGACACTCTAGATTGACTGTCCGCTGGGCTCATTGGCTGATGTTGGCATTGAGCCGCGTTCTGAGAACCAGCCGTCTGTTTCCTAGTTAGCATCACTACTAGAGCTTCTGCTACTGTTAGTGCCTAATGAGTCAGCAGTCCTGTCAGACAAACCCACTGCGAGAGCACACACACATGCATGTACGTACACATGCACATACACATGCATGCTCAAACATTAACACATACATATATTCATATTTAGCCATAGAAAAAATTAAGACACCACTTAAAATTATGTTTTTCTAAATTTACTTGATTTATTAAGTGTGGGGATGAGTAAAATGTTAATGTTTGTTTTATTCTAAAGAATTCTGATAACAATTCATTGAAATGTCATATAAAAATATATGAATATATGATTTTTTAAATGATCAAATGTTAATATTATCAAAGGTTAAATGGTTTTAGTAGTTTTACAAAATAAAATTAAATAAATTTTTTCTCAAATACACAACCCCTTATTTTTTCTATATTTGTATATTAATTACTTTTGTTATTTAAAGGAACAATTTGCCCCAGAATTGAATGTCTCTCATCATTTATTAATGATGTTATTAATGTTAGCCGAAATAAAACAAATAAGACTTTTTCCAGAAGAGAAAAATATTAGCAGACATACTGTGAAAATTTCCTTGCTCTGTTAAACACCATTTGGAATATATTTAAAAAAGAAGAAAAAAATTTGAAGGGGGCTAATAATTCTGACTTCAACTGTATGTATATATATATATATATTTTTTTTTTCTTTTTTCACATAATGAAAATAAATGAGGACCAAATGTCAAGAGAAAAACATTCATTCAATATCCTAGATAGTCATTCAATATCCTTGTTTCACAAAAACCGACTAAAATATTTCACATGTAATTCATGATTGCATTTTAAATCTTTATGATCATTCAGTTAAGCATTTCCCTCCCTGGGGAAAAAATGTGTCAGCAAGTTTTTGAGAACCAGATATAATATTTGAATTAATAATTTAAGTTACATCTTTTCAATGATTCACTTGAATGATTAATTATCAATTCTCTGATAAAGTGTAATAAACTCACAATTTAAAATCATAAACTTCAGATACTAACTATTAATGAAATTAAACTGTGATATGGCTTCAGATTAAGCATTCAAGTCATGTGGGACATTTTTAGATTATCTTTATGGCTCATTTTGGGTCGGCCTCATGCATCCTTAAGTTTCTTTATGTCTAAAAGAGTTGCTAAAACCCAACTCTGTGTTCTACAAAATAAACAATAAAATGGCTTTGTAATTACATAAGGCTGAGTAAATGTTGACATTACTGTAATTCTTGTTAAATATTGCCGTAATGCTTTCGCTTGAGCAGTACTGGAGGTTTTAGGTTTGTAGAGAGTCTGGAAGAGCCTGCCATCATCTCACTTCTCTCCACTGTCTCATTCATTCTTTAATTTTTTCATGATTCATTTTCCACAGTCTGTCTTTTATACATCTTTATCCCTTTCTGGTTTCCTTGTCAAATGTTCGTCCTGTAGCCTGTTTTTTGTGGCACTGTGGGGAATCGTAGCCTGTCTGTGTGTATCTGTGTATTTCACTGTGTGCTGTATGTGTTTTAGGAGTTATGTCTGCTCCCCTGCACATCACTACTTGAGGTAATAGGGCATGACTAATGCTTTAGTACATGAATGGATGTATTTTGATCATCTGTACAACAAAAGTCAAATGCTCATCCGTGACATACCTCATAGTGTTTGCCAGTGTGAACTACTGAACATTACAAAATCTTGCCCCTCATTCTTCATAAAGTACATACAGTACAGGGCTAGTTTTAAAATAGTCATCCATCTTCTTTTCGAGCTTTAAAGCTGTTGTAAGCAAATTTTGACCAATATCACATATAAAATTCAGAGTTTGATGAAGTTAGGAAGGGTTTTCATTAGCCAGATTTGACTTGCAGTTTAGCTTAGTTAGCAAGTTGGCTAACGCTGTTTACAGCAGCTTCAGAGTGCTGTTTTCTAGCAAATTTGGAAACTCTCTTTTTTTTGTTTTTTTTTTGTTGTTAAAGTCATAATTTTTTTATAGAAATGTGGACATTACAGAGCTGTGATCTTGTGATTAGTACATATGCTCTGAGTTGTAGTATAGGAAACTTGTGTGAGCATAAATACCCCTCTTTCCCCTCACACTTTATATGATCTGTATAGTCTATTTAATATTTATAACATGGCCGAAAGTCAAGTAAACAGACAATGGAAATGCAAATCACAACTTCAGGTCCAGTCACACAGTAAATTCACAGAGTTTGCACCTCTCACTGGTCTACAAGAGGTACAGTATGACCTCTTTCACACCACACCACTGTTAGAGCTTTAGCAGTAAATAGTGTCAGAAAATCAGCCTCTCCACTCTCTCTCAGCCTCAGAGAGTGTTCTCTTTCCCATCAGCTGTCTACACATTGCTGTAGTTCACTTATCACACCTGCTTGCTGGAACACAGCCTGCCTGTTTGAGGTGTGCTCAGTAAAAATTGATCTGGGGAAGAAAGAAGGTTATATTATTCCCCACCTGAATCTTTTTCTGAAAAAGCTGGCTTGATTCAAATTAACTTCATGTTAGCTAATTTAATAAAATATAAGCTATACAGTGACATCACTCACGAGAGACATCATACATAATGTGAGACTTCTGTAATCATTTGGAAAATAAAAATTTTATATCAATTGAAAAGAACTATTCCTTCAAAGGGCGCAAAGCACTCTAGATATCCTACGCTTGCTAAGAATCATGGCTATAGGATGCATGATTAAACTTCATGACCTAAACCATTGTTCACAAACATGAGGGATGAGTAAAGCATGCTCATATCTAACCTTCGTAATATGACATCCATAAAGACCTTCTTTTTATTTACGAAATCTTTAGTTTGCTTGAAAAAAGTGCTTCAGGATCGCTGATATTTAATCCATCAATTCATCAGTAACTTTTTTTTTTTACTATTTTTATCACTCATTAAGAGAGTGTCTTTTTTTCCTTCGTAAAATTTTTCCTTCTTAATATTTTATATAATGTGAACATTACAAAGCTGCCATGTAGTGATTAGTACACATGCTCTTGTACTAATTGTTGTAGAATAGGAAACTTGTGTATGCTTAAACACCCCTCTGTCTGTGTTCAGAGCATCAGACAGTTGCTTTGGCTTTATTATGCACAGTTTTAGTTAGCAGAGCAAAAGACTAGCTTGAATCTTATCCAGAAGAGTTAGTGTCAAAAAAAAAAAAAGATCACAAGATTGGAGTCAGTATACTAACTGTGTGGACTCAATCTGTACTCCAATTTATTTTTGTTTCAGGTCTCAGCTTTGACCTGGCGTCTTTTAATTTGCAACTACAGTTAAATGGTAGCCATCAAAATCTTAATATCAGTTATGATTCTATAGTTTAAACAAATTCAAAAACACCATTGTAAAAGGGGGTCTCGACATGGATGGAGAGTACCGTCAACACCAATGAAAAATTTTCTTATCTAAATTAATCAGTTTATGCTAACAGATTTTTTTTCTTAAATCGTGTCTTTACCAGTAAAGAACAGCAGCGTTCTCTAAAAATGATGTCCGTGTGGGAGCAGCGCACCACTCAGATCCGAAAGCACATGCTAGCCAGCAGTGAGGCGTTGTACCAAGAAGAGCTCAATCCACGGCTCATGTCTAACCTTCCTCTACGCACCGACATAAAAACCCACCTGGACCGGCCTTTGGTTGTGGAGCCTCGCTGTGATGGCCCCATCAGCCCACACAGTGGCTGGGACAAACCCCAGGATTTGCAAGGCGAGGGCAGCACACCAGAAGAACGAGTCCCACCTGTATTCGAGCCTCCACAGTCACATCCACCACGCAAGCACCACCGTCACAGAGAGCGTCTTTCTAATGAGACCAATGAAAATGGAGACACGGGTCATGCCAAAGAAGGCCGGCATCACGTTCATCACAGCCGAAGTAAAGAGCATGATGGGACACGTTGTAAGGAGGGGAAGGGTGACAGGAGCCGAAGCAGAGAAGGGGGACGTAGACATCACCATCAGAGCTCGGTGGATGAGGGCGTAGGAGGTGGAGAGAGGGAACATCGGCACCATCACTCCCATAGGCATAACAGAGAGGGCAATGGTGTGGTCAGTGCTGGGGGGAAGAGTGAACGGCGGTCCAGGCAGAAAGAGGGCTCACGATCAGGGACAAGAGAGGGAGAGAGATGCTCAAGGGGGGAGAATGGAGGAAATGGAGGGAGGAGGCGACACAGGCCACGAACCAGTAAAGCTCAGTCTACGCTGGAAGGAGAGGAGCAACATGTGAATGGAGAGGAGGAGGGCAAGTCGCAAAGCCATAGGTAAATCTTTTTTCTTGATTTAACAGATTTGTTTTGCAATACAGAAAAGAGCATTACATCTATCAAATCTGTTGGGTGTCTACTTTTTTGTGTACACTTACAAAAACAAAAGTGTGTGCTTTTACAAGATAAGATGCACTGAATATTACACTGAAATTTGAATTGAAAAGTGAATTTTTACTGAAAGTCGCAAAAAAAAAAAATAAACACACAGACATGGGACTTATACAGGAACATAGCAGACATTTTAAAAGTGGTGGGGGGAAACAGCTGTATGGGATTCAAAAGTTTACGTTCATATAATTATTAATTACCTGTTTCTAAATGGTCTGTCTTTAAAAGTGAGCAGGATGAATCCCCCTGTCCCCTGGTTGCTACACCTCTGGACATATATCTATAGAAAACTTGAAGTGTCTACTTTTAGATGCAGCAAGTGCATGTTGAAAACAAATATTGTTTGATAAAGTAATGAGTATGAAACCAACACTAGGGGAGATCAGGGCACAAAGTAACACGGGTTTTGGTCAAATAATGAACAAAGTAATGGGGTTAGACAAAACCATATTATTTTTACCAATAACACACAAGCCTCTCGTACAAATGAGAAGTGAAATTATGATTGCCGGACCTATGGTTTCTGTGCAGTATTGCCAAAAGTGCCAGGCGTAAAAATGTTACTATTTACCCCACCTGTGGGGCAAGTTGTAACAGTCAGAGGGTTAGTTATAACACATGCATATAAAGTCAGATTTTACACAATTAATTTAAATCCAGTTTACTTTAAACAGTAGCTATATTTCCTCAGTAATTAGCTCTTTTTTATTCTACATAGCACAGTATGTTTATTTATTTATTTATTTATTTATTTATTTATTTATTTATTTATTTATTTATTTATTTATTTATTTATCTATTGGATAAACACATTTAAATCTATTTGCATTATTATCCATTTATCCATTATTATACAATGCATTTATTTGCATTATTAGCAATAAAATAAAAAAATATATTAAAAAATATTTTATATTAAAAGACATTTTATTTAAAAAGTTCTCAACTTTACACTCAAAATTCAAAAATGTATTTTGTTGGTTTAACTAGTGCCCAACAGTGTGTGGCTTAATTTTAACACCCTGTTACAACTAATCCTGCTGTGTCATGTTTTCCTCAAAACTGGCTTGTCAAAACTCACTGTGGGTATTTTACATCTTTTAAAATAGTTTCATCTTTTAGCCTAGAAGATGGTGATCACAACAATATAATATTGACTATGATAAAAATACTTTTATGCTGCAAAAATAGTTTCTTCTGTGTTTCTCATCCAATTTTCGCATAATTTTTTCATAATTGGCAGGAAGACGTCTGCTGACACTGTGGTGAAAACCTTAGAAGCATGCCATGGTTAACCCTGAGCAAATACCTTAAAACTCTGCATTACTTTGTGCCCTATGTCCCCTCAGTCTGAGCTCATTATTTTTAATGTGACCACGCCCACAAGGCTTTATTATTACAATCCTCCACATAAGACGCACAGACATGTAAATTTTGGTCAGAAGAAACTGCGGAATCTCCTCGAAAACATGAGAGATATACATGAAAGACATACCTGCATAAAGCTTTGAAAGGGCACTTTACATTTTGAAAGCAAATGTTGCTTAAAAATTAGGTATAACTTTTGAATAATTCTAGCCTACAAAACTTAAAAAGTATTATTCAGGCTCATTCAGTGTGGTTTTTTGGACCTTATTTTAGCTATATATATATTTTTTTATCCAAAATCTACTAACCATGCATAATATTTTTTCGAAAAAACACAAGCATGCACATCTATATTTCTCACATATTATTGTAACACAGTTTGTGCTGAATACAAAAAAGTACATGTTGGCCAATACTATGTAATAAGTAGCTGAAATAAGATGAACAAATCAAATTGATATTAAGATGTGTAGATTTCTAAGGCTCAACAGAGATACTGTAACATGCTAAGTATTGGGTCATACCAACTGAATGCATCTTTGCTTCTAAAATGAAGGACACACAGAGCTCAGGAATAGTAAGAAAAATAGGACAGCGTAGAGTACAAGAGTTTCTGGACACAGCTAATGAGTGCCTGTAAACAAAAACTTGCTATGATTGCCCTGTTTCTGAGTTCTTCTTGGTCTACTGCTTTGGAAATGACACTGATGAGCAGCGCTGCACATTGAAGTTGAAGTTCTTTTAATTTAATTCGCCATCTTACATTACACAGCACTCATGGGCATGGTGGTTTTGAGTGTAATGATCTTACATGATTATCAATGTTGGAAAACAATAGAAAAGTAGTGCATTGGAAAGGGCAAGCGTGTTCTGTGTAAATGGCCCATTATTTGTCAGTTAGCAACTCCTCATTTATAAATGCAATTCAAGTTTAATTTGTTGTCAAGTCATACCAACTATTTTAAGGCCTTTTTATTTGGTAGATTGAGTCAATTGAATGCTATGACACATGAATCAGTGTGTTATATTTTAGTGATTTGTTCACTTAAAAAGCAAAAGCATTCACAAGAAAAACTGTAATCTGAGTTTGTCTGCTTCAGGCACATGGATATGGGAGGAGATTCAATGGCTGTAAACCCCCATCAACCTTCAGTTGGAAGCCGGTGGTGTCTTGAGAAACCAGAAGATTCGGACAACAAACGAAATATTGGTCAGACTGGAGGAATGAGCACCCATATACCCGTGACTGTCACTTCTCCCCCGGGAGAAACAACCCTTATTCCCAGTTAGTATTTCTCGTTTTAGGGCATGATAAACTTTTCCATTTTTATAGTCTGCATGTTTGGCCCCAAGGTTGTTAACATTAAAAGCTGACATAAGTTTGGTAAATTCAAACATTACCTCTGTTTGTTTTCTCAGTGAACAGTATAGACAGCGAGACAGTGCCCATGACTGAGAAGAATCTAGAAGATCTAAATCAAAGCAGCATTCGTCCCATCCTCCCCTTCAGCTCCATGTTCATTTTCAACCCAACTAATCCGTGAGTGTGTGTGGTACAGTATTTCTGGGAAAATGTTGTAAATGTTTAAAACTGTGTGCTTTGAACAACTATTACAGAACAATGCCATTGATAGTGTTGTTTAAAAAAAACAAGAAACATACCTTTAACTTTTTTTCACATGACTCACATCCCAAAAAAAAGAAAGTAAAAGTTTAACATAAAGCATTTTTTGAAAAGTAATAATGTGGCACCGAAACAATTGAGTCATTCCAAGTAAACCATTTGATAATATTAATGCTTTGAAGTAGTGTTTAGACTGTCCAACATGCGTCACCAGTGAGAAGTGTGTCAGAAAGTTATGGCAATATCTAGGTCCAAAAATAAATATTGTTGAATTTATCCAATGCTGACTCTAAAAGTAGCAAATGTTTTTGCTCCTACTGTAAATTAAGAGTAGCTTATAGTTTAGGATGATACAATTTCAAAGCAGATACTTCAAATCTGCTTAACAGCATTCTTAGCATGTGGTGACAACCTTTTTTCAAGGTATACAGTTGTTTGGAAAAGTCAAGGTTTTAAAACTGACCATTTTTTTGTGCTGTTCCATTCCTATGGTATATGTAAGATTTTATTTTGTTGGTATTTTAAGACAACTGTATCTCCAGCAGAAAAGATCCAAAGATGCCACTTTAAATTGTGAAGAAATCTGTGTTTTGAAACTAATGAAGACAGCAGAAGTCAATGATTCATTTGAATTATTTAGACGTGTTTACTGCTCCAAAATATTTTAAATGTCTCTTTATATAAATATATATTGTGTTCAAAGAAGAAAAAGTTGTTGTTTTTTACCCAGACATTTAAAAAGAATCTATTTTTTAGCAGTCAACACTACCATGAAATATTTTTTTATCCAAGGTTATTATACCGTCAAAATCTTATACCGGCCCTTGCCTACAACATTCACAAGTACAGTGTTTGAAGATGGTGCCTGGCATACCACCAATGCTGTTACATCTACAAACGCTTTTGCTTATTACTTACTCAACCGTCCATAAGATTGGTTGTAAAGTTTCACTGTGTGTGTGTGTAAGATAAACGTTTTAAGATCTTTAAGTCTAAAAGCCATCCACTCACATAAACCTCCACATAAAGCTCTGTATTAATAGGCAATTTCCAAATGCATCTGTCCATCTTGGCTCTGTTGGTGTAACAGTATAGGATTACTTCTATTTTATTATACTGTATATTAATGTCACACAAGTGCATTGTTGACTTGACCATGCCTACCAGACACTTTCTCTAAGATATGCGCTATTACTTAAACTTAAAGACTTGCCTGTGGCTTGCATGAACATATTAATTATCGGTGGTTAAATAAATCAGTATCGACTTCTGTGTGCAATTGCCTTAAGCCTAATTCTCATAGTTTGTGTTTTTTATTCAGGGTGAGACGTTTATGCCACTACATTGTGAGTCTGCGCTATTTTGAGATGTGTATCCTGGTGGTCATTGCCATGAGCAGTATAGCCCTGGCTGCAGAAGACCCGGTCCAAGCCAATGCACCTCGGAACAATGTGAGCTGTTTTATCTGTGCTAAACGGGATGTCAGATTTTGACCTCATTTTCCATTAAGTCCCAGATGAGTGATGCTAACTGAAGACCATTTTATTTTTCGCTTCACAGGTCCTGAAGTATTTGGACTATGTCTTCACTGGTGTTTTCACATTCGAGATGGTCATTAAGGTAATTTTGTGGTAAATTGCTGAAGTTAATTGCATATCTCTTTGGAGACATGATCCTGCAGTCCTTTCTTAACCTGAGATGAGGATATTTGGCGTCCGTGTCTCTATTTGTAGCACATTTTAATATCATAGATGTGAAAAAATGACACAATTTTATTGCGAATAATTCAGCTAGTTGGTCAATTTAAAGGGTTAGTTCACCAAAAAATGAAAAATTACTCACCATTTATTTAATTTACCCTCAAGTGGTTCCAAATCTGAATTTCTTTATTCTGTTGAACACAAAAGAAGACTCGAAATCATTGACATTCATGACAACTTGTTTTTCAGAGCTTGCACAGTTATTCTTTTGTCCTTTAGTGACTGACATACTTCAAATAAATTGACTAAATAATAATAACCTTTCATTTTATATTACTCTTCTGAAATACTTCTCTTGTAAGACTACTGTATAATAATGGGACATAGCTCAGAGCAAGCGATATAAAGTCTGTCAGTAATTGTCTTGAAATTGATAGTTAAATGAACTGAATTGGTTAGAAAAATGCCGCTGTAAATGATGTTAAGATTTTATCCTGATTAATCTTTCATATTTATGCTTTTCCTTTGACAAGATGGTGGATTTAGGTTTAATTCTGCATCCTGGTTCCTACTTTCGAGATCTATGGAATATTTTGGACTTCATTGTGGTCAGTGGTGCACTGGTGGCATTCGCATTCTCGTAAGTTGCCTTCATTTGCCTTACCTACAGAAACTCCCGTAACTAAAACCCGTACTTAAGAGTGTGACTTTTATCACTGAACTTAACAACAAAATACCCCATACAGTAATTTGAGACCCCTATTAGTGCAAGTTCTTGCCCGTATCCTTTTTATTTTATTTTAAAGGTTTTATCCACAGTGTAACAAAAGTGTCTTTGTGTATCTTCGTTGTTCCTACTAAAAGCTGGACATTTAATATATATTTAATTCATGCCATTCATTATGCTGCAAGGAAACTTAGCTTTGATTAAGATGTTTGCCAGATCCCACTGATCTGTTGTTTCCTTTCTGTCCTTCTTCGGAGGTGTGGGAGAGTTGACATCACTTTAATGAACTTTTGAGAATGTAGTCCTAGAATGAGTGTGTGTGTGTGTGTGTGTGTGTGTGTGTGTGTGTGTGTGTGTGTGTGTATTTGTGATGTAGAAAGCTAATAAAGGAGCTGTCTGATACGATCACCTGCTTGCGCATCCTGTAGAGTAATGGATGAGCCTTTTCAACATTCTAGTATTGAGGAAATGCAACTATTAGAAACACTTGAAATATTAAAGAGCTATAGATATGTAAGAACTTTTGATTGCTATCATGCTGATGCCATAGTTGTTATCAAATAATTGTTATTATTTGCATATGTATTTGCATACGGGGTGAATTTAGTTTTGATGTTTGCTTTGTTTGGGAGGCTGGCATTTTTGGGTGGATTGAATGTGATACTTGGATAGCTTGGAAATATCTTCAAAATAATTGTTTGGAGATAAAAGCAAACAGAACATTGAGTGGGTGCATCATCTAGGTATACCTCCGAATGAAGGGAGCTTGAGTAGATACTGTACTACTTCAGCTTGAGTGTTTAGCATTGTACTGACTATTCTGTCTTATTTGCTGTTCATTTTTATCATTGTTGATCTGTTGTTATGTCAATGCCGTGTTAAATGTGAGGATATTGATGTACTGTCACTGACTTTCCTCTCCTCCTCTGTTTCTCTCTGCCTGGAATCGCTTGAAGGAGCTTCATGGGGTAACGCCTTAACTCTCTCTGTCTTTGTTTCTGTTTCTGTCTCTTTCTTTCACTGTTCGTTTTCTTTCCTGTCTCTATGTGAGAACACTTAGCTTAGCTCATAGACAAGCATTAAAGCATGGATTCTTCTGCAGTTTCAATCTCCAACCTCATAATTCATCATTCAACATCACTTCTCAACCTATGAACTTGATTCTTCTTCTCCTCCATGTCATTTCAATTCATGGAAGGCAGATCCCATTGATCTGTTTACTTTCCTTTAAACATTCTTACCGTTCTCAGTGGGTATATGTTACTTTTTGATTATGGAGCATCCTGGATGATCATCAGTGACTCCGGACAGGATGATCAGTGCATGTGTCATGTCATATCACAAAGGACCTGTTTGGTTGGGTTGGAGTGGCGTATTAGGGCAGGTCTGGCTTTATTTGGCCATTGGTTGCATCCTCATTCTCTTCAAACCTCGCAGAGGGTATCCACTGAATTCGTGGGCATGGGAATATGAGTGTATTGACATGCTCGTTCATATGCATGTTTTCAAATTCACAGAAGAAAATGAAATCTGCTGCCAACGTGACTTCTGTGATTGGCCAGATTTTTGAAAGCTTTGTTTAGAGTTAGAGTTAGAGCATAAAACTTAAGTTATAACTAGGGGTGTACTGATATTACAAATCTATGTTTTATAAAATAAATTAGAACTATGACACAAAAAATGTTTGTATTATAATTTGATGATTTTATTTTAGACTGGGTTCCCATGGTGTCATAGAATATCTGGAATATCATGGAATTATAGAAGGTCTATTCCAAACAATGAAAGTGAGGGATTTTTTTTTGCCCCTATATCAGGAATTTGTTTGTCACTTAAAATTAAAATTATTTATCTATTTGAATATATTTTGACTTTTTATCACATTGTTTTATGCTTGTTTTTTTTTGGCTAACTCAGAATAATATACATTTTAGGATCTTTGGCCTCAAAATGCCCACTTCAAACTGTGTTAAAAGTAGATGTAAAACTACATGAAAAGTTTGTAAAACTACTAATGAGCTATCAAATATGGGCGAGGGAGAACTTTGCAGCTTCACAAACAGTAAGCCAATTATAGCCACAATGAGAAAAACAATGGATAATTTACCTCAGGTTTAAAAAAAAAATCTGAGGTAAATTATCCATTGTTGTTCTCATTGTAGCTATAAAAGTCCTGTAAAATGATATTCAAGCTAAAACTATTTGAATAATATGTGAAGCGGCAACAGCCTGTTTTTCTGTTCATTATAGGTCACGGGAATTCAGCTTTTTAGAATTTGATATTTGGCACAGTGGGAAACCTTACTCTTTACTGTTACTTTTTTCAATCTCAATTGTAATTTAGTTTTTAAGATTGGAGTTACATGTCAATTTGCTTTTTAAAATTACAAAAATGATCAGTTATCAAGTATCTGTTATCAAGTCACTGTTAATCTTTCCAACATAAAAATTTGTTAAAGCCATAATGCATTTGAGAGGTAAACAAAAATACCACAAGATTGACAAACTGCAAAAATCTGTAAATATCATGCATCCGTAGATATAACATTGCTATAAAATAATAACAGTAATGCTCCAGGTTTGAAATCATTTGATGGCATCTATCAACCATGCTCAGGGTTCATGCGTGTGTTATCAATACCTTCAAGACTGATCTATGGCTTCACCATCTCTTTTCTAGATTGGCATGTCTTGGCATTTGCTTCAGATCTTGATTGTGCTGATTTTCAGATCTACCCTCAGTCAGACGTTCCTTCTTTGTCAAGTATACCCTTCATCTCCCCTACAGCCGTCTCTGCAGACTCCACCAAAAGAAGCTGTCATTCTCTCACATCTTTAAAAGATATGAACAGCATTTGGAATTGTCTGTTTCAATCACCATATAAAGAATCTTTCTCCTTCGTGTCAGTTTCTGAAACATTTGCCTAAAAAACTCCTGCAGTTTCTTGTTTCTCCGGCATACAGCCATCAAAGTCATAATACCTTATGTTTTAACCTCTCAAAGGAACTTAGTGGTGCTCATAAAAGTTTCTTTCATTCTCATTGAAATGTTATATGCAATATTCTGAAAGGATGATGTGGTTTTGTGTTAGTGCAGAGGCACTTTCTGTTCTCAGCATGTCATAATGTTTTGCCTTTTGCTTTGTGTTCTTCTCATTCATTAGATCACATCAAAGCGTAAACAGGTGGGGAACCCCCGATATTCTCTTTCCTCCTTGATAAATCTCTTCTTTCATCATTGTCCCGGGCTGACTGGGATAATGTCCTTTACTGTCACTACATTACCAGTGGAGTGAGAGTATCTGTACAGGGTTGGAGCCTCTGCAATAACGCTGATAGCTTTCATCAGAACCTCTTAATGAATGCCTTATTGACACTAAATAGCATTTCTCCATCGTAATTGTTATCTGTGGTCCTGTGAAAGTTACCAGGGTGTCCAGTGGGACGTTATTGAGGCTCTTTATTGTTTGTAGTGGGTTTGGGGGATAAACATCAGGCCCTGTACAGTAAATGCATGCTAGACTAATGTGCATCAGGGAGCATGGGTGGAGTTGCATGACCTTGTCAAGCCCCTTGATTGGGCAGAAGGAGTAACTTCACCATGCTGATTGGTGAACATGCTGTAAGGTTTCTGCTGATTGGCTGGTAGATTGGTGTTCATTGGATTTAGAAGTATGTATGAACTTTGCATGTGTGAGTAGACGCTGGCACTTTCTAGGGTTGAAGATGTACCTTTGTTCATTCTTGTAAATGCTAGTACATCTGCAATTGTAATGCCACTTGCTCTTGCAAATGGAAAGGTCTTTTGTAGTTGTGGGTCATTTATTGAGAAATATAGAGGGGAACCACTGCTTGGGGATCTTTCTATTGTAAGCATTTTCACAATTAAATTTTTAAAAGGTGTTTTCATCTGTTAGCACCAATCATAGACCTGCCAAAGCCTTGCTTTTATTAATGCTTTATCGAAGTAAGAGATCGTGAATAAATGAGATGACTTCTCAGATATTCTGTTGTTCTCTCTTCCGTTGCTGCACTGGAAGAACTAAACGGTACCTGCAAACTAATACAGATGATAATTACCGACATACTGTACATTATTTAGCTTATTACACGGCTGCTCACCAAATGATTAAATATATGGGCATGAAATATTTGTTTGAGCTAAAATGTATTTATTTCACCTGTATATAAGGAAAAAAGGCAAAGATTTTACCAATATTATTGCTGGCAGGTGCATTTGCTGTCAAAGCAAGCTATGAATGTAGCCCTACTATGTAACCCCTAGAGTACAGTGCTGCCATAAGCAGTTGAAAATATGGCCATGGAGTGTTGACTAATCAGTATCAAATCTTCCAGAGAGCCGTGTAATAATTAGTTGAAATATAATATAAGATAATTGGCAGAACAAATCAAAAAAAAAAAAAAAAAAGAAAAGAAAAGAAGTCTATCCACAGTTAATATTGTCAGTAATCCAACAAAACACATGCCCTACATCAAAACAGGGCTAAGTGAAGACTATTATAAATGAATGTGATGTCTCAGAACTAATATGATTGTGTTTGCTCTTTGCCTGCAATATATATATATTGCAAAGAGCTTCAGTTATTCATATGACCATGGAATATTTCCTTATGATTCAGTTACCGACTATGCTTGCCCTTGCAGTTACTTCATTAAATGATATTGTAAGCTTGGCGGTTATGATTTGAGCAATTAGGAGATAAAGCATGACTGATTTCTGCTGAAGATTGCTCTTTTCTTTAAGGGTGAAATAACTTGAATTACATTTTGTTCAACCTTATTTTTTTTCTTTTCCTTAATGTAAGCTTGGTGTATTCAATGAATACATGCATTGTATTCAAATCTATGCAGTCAGTTCATCAAGTTGACCATTGTGAAGCATGTCAGCTTGATAAAGGCTATATCAAAGCAAAACAGCATTGGTTCCTGAAAAGAAACAATGCCCTTTTTCAGGGTGAGGTTTCTTTGTCATCATTGGTGGCGTGTCGTTGTATTAGAATCTGATGCACAGCAGTGTTTGGGTTAACTCCATGGGGCCTTTCTTAATTTGTGCATGAATAATGCTGAAGGATCATTTAATAACAGAGTGACATCTCTTGTAGAACCCATTTAGTGCATAAGTATATACAGTATATGCATGCAATAGAGAATTGTGTATTTCATACTCTTTCACCAGAGCATGTGCTTTTGTGAAATAACACAATCCATTGCTGGAGTGATTAAAAGCTGTGGCACTGAAAGATGCTCATTTGTAAGTTGATTTAAGTTGTCTGTATGAAAGGTGAGTATGTTTAGTCTAGTTAGTGCCCCATTATTGATTTTTACCAAAGGAAACATTTACATAATGTTTACTCACATTCTCGTGTGTTTTGTCTGGATTTATGTGAATCCTTTGATGAAGCCTGACTACAGCATGTGTTTGATCCTATTCTGAATCTGCTGACCTCTTTGTTCTTTTGACTGGTGTAGAGGAACCAAGGGCAAAGACATCAGCACTATCAAGTCACTGAGGGTGTTGCGAGTCTTGCGACCTCTGAAGACCATCAAACGTCTACCAAAACTGAAGGTAAATATTCTGTTGCATTGCAATAGTTGAGCAGAAATTGGCAAAATATTGGTTACATAATTAAAAAGATGTTATGTAGATAAGGATATAAATAAAGATAACTATGCTAAAATATTTCTTATTGTTTTTAATGTTCAAAACAGTTGTGCTGGTTAATATTTGGAGGAACCCAAGTTTTTTTCTCAGAATTAAAAAAAAAACAGCGTAAGGCAGAAATATTTCAAATGTTTTGTATTATGATGATTATCTGTGTTATACGTCTACAGCAATTTCATTAATCTTTCAGATCCTAGGCATTAAATGCAGTTTTTTTCCATAGAACAATAGTTATACAAAAGAATAAAAACCCTGTCTGGCACATTTAGAACAAGAGTATTTGTTTACATATGACAAGGATTGATTTGAAGATCATAGCCCCAAATTATAAATTAAATATTATTAAAATGTTTGCTTTTTCACAATACATCAAATCTTAATTTTACCCAGTTGTTTGATAATGTAAATATTATGCAATTCATAACGATCATATAATCTTTCATACATTTTTCAACCAGAGCTCAGAATGTGATGTTTTATTTTTCTATAAATATGTCGATTACCCTGGTTGATGATAAAACACTTATTTCGATTTTTTTTTTTCACAAAAGCTTTTTGAAACGTTTAAGTAGACATGCTGCTTTTTTAATATCTAATGTGCTTGGATGTACTTAAAATCACTTGTGTAAACAGAATTTAACGTGGTCACCAAAATGGGACACCAATCCCATTTTGAAAAAGTCAAAAACATGAAAATTATTGTGTATCAAAGTTTGGAAAAGAATACTTTAACAAATAGTTGTGTAAGAAAGAACTTTTTCCCTTCCACTGATTTGATTACAAAACTTAAGTAACTTTAACATAAACCTAAAAACCTAAACCTAAAATTATTTGCTAAAAGATTATCTTCGGAAATTATTAATAATATTAAATCTGATATGCAACTAAATACAATAAAACACATTGTAAATTATGTCTTTCAAATGCATTATTAAATTAATATATAAAAAATTGTAAAACCTTTCCATTTAGTAGATCAAAAGAAATCAACAGTATTGCCCTTGATTTTACTTGGTACAGTTTCTTAAAGAAATGATGTAATTTCATCCATAATGCTGGACACCTGCTGTATTCTCCACAGTTATGCTTTAAAAACCTGTTTGTGCAGAGCAGGTGTAGATATCACAGCTATGACAGCTGAAGTGAGTGCACTATATCTGTTAATACTGGAGATCTGTCTGTCTGCCATTTCTTCAGCTGACTGTTAAAGTTTCCCGAAAGTGCCTTTTTTCTTGATATGTGATGTAATTTTAACTGAAACATGAAGACAGGTTGGGAGGTTTGAGAAGCCCCTCTTCCTTTTAAAAAAAATATCAATGAACTAAAGCTATCATAAAAGTCACGGTCTATAACAATAATGCTTAGTTTAGCCACTTTTAAATACAACATTAGTAATTCAAATGGGTCCAATGCATTTTGTGGTCCGTGTCGACACATATGGTCTGCTTCATGCAATTATCTGATTATCCGCACCATTATTTTTTTTTATATTCGCAAGTGTTTAGATGACCTTCAGTGTGAATGTTGATTTAAATGTGAATAAATAATGAATTTCAGCTGCAGCTTTAGCATCTAGAAGAGAGCTGGATGTTTAAGATACTAGAAAGCTTTTGATTGGCCAGAAGGTTTGTTTAGAAATTGAAAGTATAAGGGGACGCCATACAAATGATTGAATCATATTGTCAGAAGTGAGAAATTGCAAGTTTTGAATGCTTGCATCTTATAAATGTAAATTTTGCCATTGTTTTGGAGCACACTGGCTTATATCTTAAGGCTAATATATTGAAAATAACTTTAAAGAAGCAGAGTGTACAGTATAATTGTGTGTCTGCTCTCTCTCTCTCTCTCTCTCTCTCTCTCTCTCTCTCTCTCTCTCTCTCTCTCTCTCTCTCTCTCTCAGGCCGTGTTTGATTGTGTGGTGAACTCCCTGAAGAATGTCCTGAATATCCTCATTGTCTACATTCTGTTCATGTTCATTTTCGCTGTCATTGCTGTGCAGCTCTTCAAGGGCAAGTTTTTTTACTGCACAGACGAGTCCAAGGGCCTGGAGAAAGACTGCAGGTACAGAAGGATTAATACAGAAGCACAACTCACACAAGCAGCTCCCCCTGCAGACACACAGCAGGACTGTAAAAGCACCTTTTCATTTTAAAAATAAGTCATGGAAAATAAAAATAAATAATAAAAAAATTATGAACATTTCTCGTTTGAATGTGCACTTGTGGGATTTGTGAATGTACAGTTTAAAAATGCTGGGTTCCACACAATTCCTTCACGTAGTTCCAACACAAATTTATTAAGTTAACTTAATTCTTTTTATAAATTTAAGTGGCTTAAACATAAAACAAATAAGTTGTCCCCAAAAACACTGAAGATTTGTGTAGATTCAGCTAATTTTAAAGAAATATTTTTAACGAACAAAACAAAATGTTTATTTTTTTTCTTTTTTTTTGAGTTCTTAGCGTACTTCAAGCATCAGTTTCCCACTTGATTTTTCAAAAAATACTTATATTCTGTTTTTGTCACTTGTTTGATCTCATTAGGGGGCTGTTTTTGGATTATGATAAGGATGATGTGACGGCACAACCGAGGGAATGGAAGAAATACGAGTTTCACTATGACAATGTGCTTTGGGCTTTTCTCACTCTCTTCACTGTTTCTACGGGAGAGGGCTGGCCTACGTAAGTCACCACACATAAAAAATTCTCCATGCTCTTGTTTCACGTTTTTGTGTATTTACAAGCATTAAAATACTGAATGTGTAATACAGTTTCATTATTATTATTTATTTTTTCTAATTTGTTGAAATGTGTGCACTAGAATGCATTCGAATGTCTCTCTAAGAGAAAGCATTTTCAAAACACTCGATTTATTTGACACTAGTCTATTTATCGAAAAATCTTAACAGGCACATTTTATCACCCCTTTTTTATGCAGAATCATGGTAGAGTGTATCATTAACTGTTATAACTGTTAGTAATATTTTGATTATTTTTTAATTTGTCAGTTTTTTCTAATTTGTTTTCCTTGGAATCAATTTAAATATGTTAAAATAGAATACTATTAGATGTAATCAGTTAAAAAATCTATATGAATATGGTATAAATATGTCTTAAATGTAGAAAAAGCCACATGCAACTAGTTAAATTCTATTCTGTTGGTTTACTTTACATTTGGGGCCAAAATTGACACAGCTCCATACTCACAATATATTATATCCAATGTGTTTTAAATTCATAAGAATAATTTAAAACACTTTGAATTTATTGATATTACATAAATCTTGTTGTTATTTGTTTCATTTATGTTTACCTAACAAATATCAATTACAAAGTTTATTAGTGTCAATGATGTTAAAAGTATACAATCCAAATGGATGGAAATTTTATATGCAATCAATGCATACATCTTATTTGTTAGGCCTAAATATTTTTTTGAGTGTATGACCTATAACCGTTTACTACTTGGTATTTTTTGCAGGGATTAGAAACCTATAAAAGCCTTTGTCCTCTTCAAACACTTCCCTTGTGTCCTCTGACCCCGCAGTGGCCTTTTATGCTCCTGCTTTAAAGGGTGTAATCAGTTTGAAGTGCTACTCTTTGAAGCTGTGTGATACTACTAAAGCGCAGCTCTCGGGAGGCATCAGCCCAAACTCATGAATGTGCTGGACAAGCCTTTGCAATTTGCTGTGATTTATTTTATGAGGTGTTCGCAAGCTTGTCGGGGTCAGTGCGGTGCAAATTAGTTTCCACTCTGTCATTGTTTCCCCAGTGTTTAATGAAATTGTTGCTGTGAGTTTAGTAATTGAGCAATATGTGATATGAAAAAAAGCTTCAGGAGTTTCAATTTTATTTTGATTACTTTGACTCCGCTACTGATTCAAAATTAATTACAGTTGCATTACATTTAATAATTTGGCAGACACTTTTATCTAGGGCAAATTAACAAATGAGAACAACAGACATTAACAAGAAACTACAGAAAAATAATATGACCCTGATCTTATGTTAGTAGCAAAATAAAAACTTTCTTTTTATGCCAAATCATTAAAAGGTTACATAGTCATATTCCATGAAGATATTGTCTATATTTCCAACTGTATATATAACAAATCTTTTTTAGTAATGTGCATAGATAAGAAGTCTTTGAACCCAAAGATTTCAGATTCTTAAATATTTATATCTAGTCCAAATATTCTCCCAATAAACTATACACTAATGGAAAGCTTATTGATTAAGCTTTACATTGTGCATGAATACAGATATATTTTGCTTGTTTTTAATATATTATTTTATTTGTTGGTAAGAAATCATTTATTTTTAGTGTGGTCAGAAATAAATTTGGTAAATCCTCAATTTTGAGCCCTGAAAAATCATGTGAAATAGAAAACTAATTTCAATGCGACACAACCCATTTACTCATGCACATTGAGCAAGCTCATACACAACACACCGTCACACCTTAGAATTATAAAGTTCTATCAGACATTTTTGTCAAAATTGAGTTATTGACATATTCTTATTAAATGACAGCTTGTTTATATTATGGGATGTTTTTTTTTTATAAGTTGCTTACATTTGAAGACTTTTTATTTAAAAAAACAAATGTTACACACATACAAATTGCTCTGGAATGCAAAAACTTTGAAGCTCAATACCTCAAAATCATTCAGAGCGCAGATAGAATCTTATAATTCCAAGGTGACGACACACAAAAAATGAAATGAATAAGGAATGAAACCCAGTGAATAAAAGCCCTTTTTCACCTCACCTTACCACACGCCAAGCCCAAAACAATATTAAATCTACAGTAGCGCTTATCAAAACACAAACAATCCAACGAAAAAATTATTTTATGTTTATGAATCATGCTTCACACAGGTGAGTGGCCTTGACAAACCACCTGTAGAAACACACTCTCTCTTTCTCTAAATATTTTTAATATAAGTATTTATAAAGAAAAAATAGCAGAGAGCAGACAAAGAGTGTATTTTGTTAAAATAATTAGACTGAATAGAAATGTAATTGTAACAGAAGACCAGAGGATTCCTTTTCATAAACAAATTGAATAGAAAATAGAAGACAATAGGTTACAAATTACAAAGTGTTTTTTATAAGGGTAAAATCTAAAATAGATTACAAAGGTGACAGTGATAGAAGACCAGAGCAAAATACTTTTTATTGGTTGTGTTGTTGTTCATAGAAAAAAAAAAACTGTAGAAAACAGAAAATAGATGTTGACAAGAAGATGAATCTGACTAGACAATTATCAAGAATGACTCAATATACAGCTGGCGACTCAGACAATAGAAGCAAGCAAAAAGATCAAAAGAGCAATAGTGTGTAACTGCTATCATTTGTTCCATCTGGTCAAATGGCGTATATAGAATATTACATATGAAAAATAATGTCAATTGTATTAGAAATGCCAGATGCATTCAACAAACCTGTCCAGTCAGATACTGATGCTACTGTGCTACTATTTCATTGTTTGTGATCTAAGTAGTGATATAATTTGTTTAAAGCAAATGTAGCCTTCTCTTTTCCCCACAGTGCATTCTATTTGCTTATTTATTTAATTAACGATGGAATATTATCTGTGCACAGGGTTTTGAAGCACTCCGTGGATGCCACTTTTGAGGATCAGGGTCCCAGTCCAGGCTACCGCATTGAGATGTCTATTTTTTACGTGGTCTACTTTGTGGTTTTCCCTTTCTTCTTCGTCAACATTTTTGTAGCCTTGATAATCATCACATTCCAGGAACAGGGTGATAAGGTCTTGTCAGAGTGCAGTCTGGAGAAGAATGAGGTACGACTATTAAAGTTTAGATATGATTAATTCCCAAATCTGCATTATTTTACAGACTATAATCCCATGCTGTAGAAGAAATATAGTTAATTTGGTCGTATTTCTTGTACAAACACAATACAACATTAAAATATGACTAGCAATATTATAAGTTTGTTTTAACATTATTTGTATACTAAGAAAGAAATATGACAATCATGTATTTTAATAATGATTTTATTACACTATTAAATTATAATAGTGTATATAGTATATATAGTAATCATATATATTAATACATTTATTTAATATTATTTATAATTTAGAGTATTACATTATTAGTATTAATGTTTTACATAATTTAGAAAATATAAAAAATATATATTTTTGAATTACATATAACAATTACTTTTTAAAATGTTGTAAAACAAATAATTTGATTATATATATATATATATATATATATATATATATATATATATATATATATGCAGGATAATGTACTGTATGAGCAATATCACACGAGTAGCTGTGCAATATAGCTGTATATAAGCTATGGTGGGAGGCATGCTTTGACTCGAGGCCACAGGCCGAGTGCCTTAGTGTCCCACCACACCAGTGACGATACACAGTTATATTGCTATACAGCTACTCGTGTGATATTGCATTTATACAACACTTTCAAAAAAAAAATTATATAACTACTGTATAAGGTCCATTTTTCAAAGAATGTCAACAGAAAGAATCTTTTTTTCAGGCTTACAGTATTAAATACAAAGACAGGTATTAAACTTCCTCTTACACACACTTGAAGATGCTTTTAGTGTTTAGTGGTGTGATACGGTATAGTGAATCCAGCCACAGTAACAGCTGCAGATGTCCAGGTAGGGAATTATGACAGGATTAATACAAGTGTCAGTGGCGGACCACACACACACACACACCTAAACATTCTGCAAAACAGGTATGCATTCATACACTGACGCACAGTGACTAAAGACACACACTGAGAGCCAGCCAGTCCCATGGAAGAGCAGTCAGCAAGATGTTCCTGCCCCATTTCCTCTGAGGCCCCATTAGAAGGGGCCTAGTCGCTCTGTTTGGCTCTCTCCCTCTCCATATGCCAGCCCAACATGACTCACAAACTGTGGTAAAAACCCAGACCTCAGGAGAAACCATTTATCATCAACACTCACAAGCCAGCCAGGAAATATTAGCGCCATTACGAGTTTATTTTCTGTTTCCTTCACTGGTTAGGCTGCAGTATGACATCCACACTTGTTATTGCTCAATTAAATGGTATTTTTGATTCGATTTGGTTATAAGAGTAAATATGTGACTTTAAAAATGTTTTGCTTAGCAATAAGGATGGAAAAGTGAAGTAAGACAATGTGAATTATTATTATATCCTTTGCTGTTTTCCTCTCAGGTAGACTGCATTATGGCATTTTAATTTGCGTTGGAAACGAGACAGAAAATGTGATTAATAGTCATTTTGTGAATGATTAATTTCTCTTTCACTTTTTTCTTTCTTAGAGAGAAAAAAAATCTTCACAGAAAAATACTACAATAACTTATAGACCTTTTTCTTAGAGTGCAAAATATTAGGGGTGTGAACCTACACTAGTCTCACGGTTCAGTTACGATTATCATGCCATTGATTTGGTTCAATACAATATCTCGGTGCCTCACGGTGCATTGATGATGCTTTTCACACACATTTAGATTTTTTTTTTTACAACACAAGAATTTTTTAATTAAAATTCATTCATTTATTTTCTTTTCGGCTTAGTCCCTTTCTTAATCTGGGGTCGCCACAGTGGAATGAACTACCGACTTATCCAGCATATGTTTTACGCAGCGGATGCCCTTCCAGCCACATCTCTGGGAAACATCCAAACACACTCATTCACACACCCTTTTACACTATGGTCAATTTTAGGATAGCCAATTCACCTGTACCACATGTCTTTGAACTGTCTAGGAAACCGGAGCACCTGGAGGAAACCCACTCAAACACAGAGAGAACATGCAAATTCCACACAGAAATGCCAACTGACCCAGCTGAGACTTGAACCAGCAACCTTCTTGGTGTGAGGCGGACGTGCTATAAATATTAATAATTTAAAATACTTATAGATTTTTAATTAAAATCTGTTCGACTTGATGAGCATTCAGCTTGAAATATTATATAAACTGTGTTGATAGTAAGTTTCTCATTGTACCGCATCTGTACTGTGTCTTAAAGTAAAAACATCTTGGTCGCTCTTTATTTTGATGGTCTCTTTGTTGAGTTTAAGTCACATTACATCTACATGCCAAATAATTCTCATTAGATTATAAGTAGACTTTTAGGTTGGGGTTAGAGTTAGTGTAAGTTGACATGTGCTTGCAAAGTTTCTTATAGTCAGTTAAATGTCTGTTTAGAAGCAGTACCAACAGATATTAAGCAGACAGTCTACTAATACTCAAAATAAAGTGTTACCACATCTTAGTCCTGCTGTCAGTGTTTTTTTATAAAACAACAAAGATAATGAAATCACTATGTGACTAAATAGCTATATAGCAATGGTTAACCTGTATTTATTTATACAGTGAAGATTATATACAGTATGTAGTGTTGCTTGATTATATTTTTCAGTTTAAGTAACTGAAAACTCCTGTTAGGTACATGAAAAAGCTGAAAAGCACTGTTTATTTTAGTATTTCCTTCGCTATATTGTGTTCATTTTGTAATTTATTTTTCTTGAAGAGTTTTTTTATTTATTTATTAGACAGTGCTTTTTACTGAACATATACCAAACCATACCAAAACCGTGACCTAAAAACAAAAAACAAACCATGGGAAGTCTGTATTGTTGCTAGTAAAATCTAAAGAACACTACAGTATTTATTACAGTTTATTAAATCATTGTGGTTAATACTACAGTATGCTGTAGCATTCATCAACAAAGTGCTGTAAAGACTATAATAGGTACAATAGTGTGGTTCAAGAGCACTATAGCTTTTACTATAAATTGCTATAGCATTTTTTCTGTGGGTTTTTGATTTGATTTAGTTTGATTACAAGAAAGAAATTGCAACTTTAGAACGTAATTTTTTGAAAAATAAAGTCATATAACACTAGTTTTGTGAGTCTGTAATGTGAATTAATTCCTCTTTTGCTGTATTTTTCCTCTCAGAGAGCCTGCATCGACTTTGCTATCAATGCCAAACCTCTGACACGCTACATGCCGCAGAACCAGCAGTCCTTTCAGTACCGCCTGTGGAAGTTTGTGGTCTCTCCGCCGTTTGAGTACTCCATCATGATCATGATTGCTCTCAACACTGTGGTGCTCATGATGAAGGTCAGTCAGTCATTTAGCTTTCTGTAGCAGAGGAGTCCTTGGAGAGCCACTTGACAGCTGTGAAAGTTGGCATTGTTATATCCTTTTTTTGGTAACTCTTTAGATTATGGCACAGATTTGCTATTAATTGGCTGCTTTTAAGCATGGGCTGTTTCATGACCCTCATGTGCACATTTCCAAATGTATTACAATAGAAAAAAAATTAATATAGATTGTAATAAAGTGTTACATTGTTGCTGTAACCCCAGTTATTAGCGTTAGTTTTCCCAAATATGAAAGTTCTGTTATCTTTTTTGTTATCCCCCAAACCTGTTTGAATTTTCTTCCTCTATTGCACACAAAAGATGATTTTCTGAAGATTATTAGAAACTGGCAGCCATTGTATTTATTTATTTTTCCTACTATGGATGTCAATGGACGCCAGTTTCTAACATTCCTCAAAATATCTTCTGTTGTGTGTAACAGAAAACAGAAACTGAAAAGGCTTTAGAACCACTTGAGAGCAAATAAAGACAACATTTTTCTGTTTGTGTGAATTATCCCTGTGAATATTTTAGTAATTAAACTGTTTTTACTCTTTTGTGTTTTTGATCACCAAATTAGCATATTAGAATGATTTCTGAAGAATCATGAGACACATATTTGATATAAAGTTTGTTTTTTACTTTAATATGATGAAAATAACTTGATTTCATATTGAATTTCATATTCCTCTTGCCTTCTTATGCTTGCAGTTCCATGGGGCGCCTGACTTTTATGAGGCAATGCTTAAGTATCTCAACATTGTCTTCACTGTTCTCTTTTCACTGGAGTGTATTCTCAAGATTATTGCTTTCGGCCCCTTGGTGAGTATCATGCTTATAAACACCACCTAAATGTCACAGGTTACTCAAAAACCAAGTATATGTTAAAACCAATTGACAGCTTTCTTTAGAAATATTCTGACTGAAAATGATGGTAGCTTTAGTCGCCAGCTGCTTTGATTGTATGGAAAAGATCTGCTTGAACATTCTGCTAAAAATCTTTTTTTTTTTTTTTTTGACAATGAAAAAATCTTAAAAGTTTGGAATGACATGAAGAACACAATTTTGCCCTAATTCTTCAATCCCAGGCTGCATTCAAAATTGCATACTTCCATATAGTATGCTAAAATCAGTGTGCGAACCAAGTAGTATGTCCAAATTCATAGAATTCCAAAAACAGAATGCGAGAATTATGGAAATGACCTACTACTTCTAGTGAGATTCTGAAGTGTGCATCAGATACTGTAGATGCTATGCTATCCCATGATACCCTGTGAGAAAATCCATGAATGGGAGTGAAGTGACGCAACTCATGTGGGTAGGTCACATGATCATGACAAAATGGCGGATGTAGTATGTTCAAGTTCCATTCATTCTACTGACATGCATACTGTATAGAACACATTTTTATAACAGCCGAGTAGTATGTTTAAATTCAAATGCAGTACCTACTGAGCAGTAGGCTGTTTCGGACACAGCCTTAGTGTCTTCACATTAGCGTACATGTACTAGACTGCACTGTCTGCACTTTATTCACCAAAGGTTTTCATCGATAAGAATGTCTTTGTAGTCATTTTAAAATGATAATGCATACAGTTGACGTCAGAATTATTAGCCCCCCTTTGATTTTTTGTTTCTTTTTTCAATATTTCTCAAATAATGTTTAACACTTAACAGAGCACGAAAAGTTTCACAGTATATTTGATAATATTTTTTTTCTTCTGGAGAAAGTCCTATTTGTTTTATTTCGGCTAGAATAAAAGCAGTTTTTAATTTTTAAAAATAATATTTTAAGGTCAATATTATTAATAACTTTAAGCTATATGTTTTTTCGATCAATTTTTTCAAACCCTAACCTGCCTAGTTACCCTAATTAGCCTAGTTAAGCCTTTAAATGTCACTTTAAGCTGCATAGAAGTGTCTTAAAAAATATCTAGTCAGATATTATTTACTGTCATCATAGCAAAGATACAATAAATCAGTTATTAGAGATGAGTTATTAAAGCTATTATGTTTAGAAATGTGTACAATTTTTTTTTTTCTCTTTTAAAGAGAAATTGGGGTGGGGGGTATGAACGGGGGCTTATAATTCTGACTTCAGCTGTATATTTAAATGCCTGCAGACATTAATTCTTCAATGCGGTTGTCTGCTGTTGCCATCTTTAACAGTGTATTGTTTTTACTTTGTGCCACACAGACCACAAGCACAGTAAACTGAAGTATACTTTCATTCGGGAAATATAGTGAGCTTCTTCAGCTTGTCTCTGAATAATCTCACTAATTCTTTTTTTTTTTTACAGAATTACCTGAAAGATGCCTGGAATGTGTTTGACTTTGTGACTGTGCTGGGCAGCATCACTGACATTTTAGTCACTGAGATTAACGTAAGTGAGCTCTGCATTTTTGCATAATTGAAGTAGTTTCAGAGCCTAAAAGTGTGTAATAACAAACAGCAGAGACTGGCTGTGAGGGAAAGCCTAGACATACATGATGTTGACAAACCAGCTCATTAGAAATATGTGCTTCAGCCTACATTTTTGCAAAACGAAAGTCAAGTTGCTCCTGACACATTTCAATGCACGTTTTAGATGACACATCCACTAGAGGGCAAAGTTAACATTATTGTAAGTCTGAAATATGGTATATAAAGTATGCTTTATGCTTCAAATATATGTCCTTCTTGTGTACGTCCATGAAAAGGTGCCGCTTGTCACGCAGCAAACCACTGATCTAAACCCTTCCCTACATCCAAAAATAATGTTTTGAAAAGCAAACCTAAAAGATAAGTGAACTGCGACCATTTAGTTTTATCTTAATGTTACATTACTCCACCAAACTCAAATCTGAGCACTCTGCTTTACAAGTATAACACCAGAAAAAGTGAGCTATCAAGCAAAATGACCACACCAGAAAAGTTGTCCATATGGATATAGATAAGTGAGGCATAACATGAAAATGTCCCTGTAAATATCATTAATGTAAAAAAGGAACAAACGTTGAGATTCACATGTGGATTGGTGCAGCGGCAGCAGTAATGTGGTTGATGTATCGGTCCATTGAGGTAAAGAATGAGCTGAGCGGAAAGGCAAAGCTCTCGATTTACCGGTCAATCTACACTCCTTCTCTCACCTATAGTCATGAGCTTTTGGGTCATGACCGAAAGGACAACATCTCGGATACAAGTGGCTGAAAGGAGTTTCCTTCGCAGAGTGGCAGGGCGCACCCTTTCAGATTTTCAGGGTGAGGAGCTCTGTCACCTGGGAGGAGCTCAGAGTAGAGCCACTGCACTTCCACATTAGGAAAAGTCAGCTGAGGTGACTCAGGCATCTGTTTCGGATGCCTCCTGGACTCCTACCTAGGGAGATGTTCCAGGCATGTACCACCAGGAGGAGGCCTCGGGGAAGACCCAGGACACGCTGGAGGGACAATGTCTCTCAGCTGGCCTGGGAACACCTGGGGATCCCCCCAGAGGATCTGGAGAAAGTGTCTGGAGAGAGGGAAGTCTGGGGTTCTCTCCTAAGACTGCTGCCCCTGCGACCCGGCCCCAGAAAAGTGGAAGAAAATGAGATGAGATGAGGAACAAATACTGCTGGAGTTTACCTAGAAACTGCAGTCAAACCTATGCTCAAGTATGTTTTTCCAGTTTCACAAAAATGTAGGCTGAAAAATATATTTCCAGTGAGCTTGCGTTGGATGAGAAGCTGGAAAACTATCACAGATTTGGCTCTGGCTCAGGAACAGAAGGGAGTTAGTGCTTTGTGTTGTTTTCCTATATATAACAGTTATAGAGGGATATGATAATGATTTGGTTTGCTCCTCTTATTTGCGCTGATTTAACGTCATTTTACAGTGTCTTTGTTGTAGTGTGATTGTAGATTGTAACAAGTAAGAAATAAATGACAATGAGAGGTTGAATTATAAGAAAAGATTACCCATGATATTTTCATCATCTTGTAAAACCCCGAAAGTGTTTATTTTATGATTACAGCTATTGGCTGTAATGTGTCTGACAAATTACAGTGCTACACTGTAAAAAAAAAAAAAAAAAAAAAAAAAAAAAAAAAAAAAAAACAGCCAAAAGACTGGCAGCAGGGCTTCTAGAGATATTCAGTTAAATTACAGAAAATTACCATTTAACGAAATTACATGCTAAAACTTTAAAAACACAGAAAATAATTTACGGTAAAAAGTCATTAAATTACAGCTTATTACTGTTAATAATTTGCATTTAAACTGTGAAAAAAAGTATTTACTGCCATTTCACTAATTATAACTGCAATTATGCAGATAATTGCTGTCATTTTACAGATTATTACTGTTAATATATAATTTATTATTGTAATTATACAGATTAATTAATGTGATTTTAAAGAATATTACTGTAATTATACAGGTTGTTAATGTAATTATACAAATTAATTAATGGAATTATAATATTTTTTACTGTCATAATGCAGGTTATTAATGTAATTATGCACATTAATTAGTGAATTAATTAGTTATACAGATTAATTTATTAATTATGCGTGAAAGCTAAATATTCCATGAAAAATGTCCACTTTTTAATTACATTTAAAACAAATAAATATCAACTTTAATTAATGATCAAAAAAAGCTTAGGTACAAATAATTGCTGTTGTGGTCCTAAAACACTGTAAATGTAACTATAAACTTTATTTTATAAAAACTTTTTATAAACTTTATCCAAACTTTCTATAATTTAACAAATATTTTTACGATATCCAGGTTAAACTGAATTGTATTTAAAAATCTACTTTTTTAAAAAATGTCTTTATTTACAAATAACACATTTGGTCATCGTTTAGCAACAAAAACAAGGTTAGTGTCATGCGAGGACACCTGCACAACAAAGTTGAGGATCAAACAGCAGTTTATTAAGAGAATCATCTTGCGATTAAAGGTTGAAACAGGAACAAACAGGTGCATACAGATAATCCCAAGCATAAAGGCGGAAAACAAAATAACAAAGTAAAGGGGTCAAACACAGCAAGGCAAAGGGAAACGCATCGTCATGCTCACTAAACAGTTTAAGACTCTGCAATGATGTCTCTGTGTGTGCTGAGTTTATAGTCCTTGAAATCAGTCCATAACGATCTTCTGACTGTGTGTGTAATCAGTCAGAATTAAAAACCCGGGTGTGCGAGGTGCATGCTGGGAGTTGTAGTTCGTTAAAGTATCGTGTGTGTAGTTTTCCAGCGATCCACAACCGCTAGATCACTGGTGATTGTAACAATTAGCACAGCAACATTGTTAGAGTAGTAAAATAAACATCTGATAGTTTAATGTGCATGCATTATATGCAGCCCACAAACATAGGCTATTATTTGACATTATTAACCTCACGTTAATCTTCATATGATTACTATTTTCACTAAAAAACTATTTGACAGATTTTTTGTTTCCCTATTTTTACAGGAATAATCCGTATAGATTAATGTAACATTATGTTTTACTATCTGAAAATACAGAACATTTCACTGTATAATGAAAAAAAAAACTGCAAATTTCTGTAAAGAAATACAGACAATTACCTATAAAAATGTTGACTTTGCATGACGCCATAAAAAATTAATTGCTGCTTTACATTTTTTGATCCTATGATGTTTATTTAACTCATTTTAACTTGGATAAATTTAGATTTCATTTCTCAGATACCTTAAAAAATAAAGTTGACATAATTCATGGATTTAAACTCTCAACTTTAGCATAAAACATAAAAACATTGTCATAAATAATTTTTGTTTTGAATTTAAATATTTTATCGCAACTACATCCAAACCACTGTAAAAAAAAAATGCTGTTAGCAAGTGCCTTATTTACAAGACAAAACATTAAAAATACAGTTAAAAAAACATTAAAAATACAGTGCATGCAGTACAGTGATACCACTTACTTGGTAGCTTATTCCCACATAAATAAAATTGGTTTGATATAAAGCATTTTCGAAAATACCTGTTTATCTTATAATCCATTAAGGTGTACAAAACAGCCACAGTAACAGTATTACAGCATTAATAATGGAGGCTTCCACGTCTGCTTTTTAAAAAAAAAAAAACAATAACGATAGATACAGTACATAGATGCCAACATTTGTGTTTGTATGAAACACAAATACCCAGATGAGTGGCGTTGTGTTGTGGTTGTTATTGCAGAAGAATTGTTTGCGCTGTCCAATAACAATCAAGTTTTATAACAACATTTACCAAAGACAGGGGTACTATTAGGTTTGGTTTTGGGTTATTACATGCACTTATACAGTACATGTGCTGTTGTTAAAAAAGTAAGTACACAAGTGTTACCAAGTGCTATGCTTAATGATCCCAAGTCTTATGTCGTATTTTACTGTATGTCTTGATGTCCATGTCGTTGTCAAAAGCTGCTACTGATTGTAATTGTGTTTGTTGTGTAACTATATCTGTGTGTGATGGCTGTTCCTGTTCTCCTGTGTTTTTTAAATATCTTCACACAAATCTTGGCTTGCTCCTGCCACGATTTAACATCTTCATTTATAGACAACGGTGAGTCGCTCTCCTGTCTTTGTACTTATGTCCATTGAACTTTTCATTGAAGATATATATGACACATCATAAGGTTCTTCTTTTTTAAAATGTGCATTGAAGAAAAATACAGCACCATTTAACAATCAGTCACTTCAACATGTAGTAAAAAGGTCTTTTTTGAAGTCACCAGGGTTCTCTACTGCTACTCATCCTGGATCCATATCCTTTGTGGTCCAACCACTCCTACTGTATTTTTTCTCTCGACATTCAGCATTGTTGTTTCAGGACCAACTAATGATATTGAATCTAAACATATACTTCCTAAAATAACTAAAATATTCCTGAATATTTTTTTCACACTGAATCTGGTGTCATTTTACAAATAATGTTTTGAAAATAAGACTGAATGCATTAATGCAGGAATATCCACTCATCCACGTTAATTATTTTTAAAAGTTTTATTTTGATTTTACTTTTATTGTAAAATATGTATTTAAGTTGTACTGTTTAGTAATACATTTTAAGTTAGTATTCGTTGATTAACAAACCCCTTGATTTTTTTCCTTTAGGGTCAATATTCATAGCATTTGAAGAATGAATCAATGAATCAGTCAATCAGTCAATCAATCAATTAAAATACAATCCAGATTATTGCAATATAGATCAAATCCCGTAATTCAGGTTCAGTGTGAAGGGATTTGAGAACTTGTTCCTTAGAGAATAAAGGTATTGTTTAGCCAAAAGATAACACTTCTGTCATCATTTGCTCTTCCTCATGTCATTTTTTACCAGTATTTCTTTTTTTTTTTTTTTGGAGCACAAAAATTACTTATAAAGCAAATTACACATAAGAAAGAAGAAAGTTTGTTTAATCATTCAAAATGGACATTGGCATGTAGTGATATTTTGGAATAGAACACAGCAAGGAACTATGCTTTTAGCTACAGCTCTAGAGGTGTAGTGGCAACCACACAAGTTTGTGACACAGTTTGTAAATGTTCATTGCGGGAAAGCCAAATCTATGTTTATAGCATTGTTAGTTTTTATAACAATGATGGTTTTCAGAAACGCACCCAAGTTTGTTTCTCTTTAGCAAGAGAATATTTTCTTAAAAATGTCCTTTAGAATATCTTAAATCAATATTGCTTACCAGTTTGCAAACTAAGACAAAGTACATTTTTAGGACTTTTCAAACATTTGAGCTTTGGTAAAATACTGTCATGGGTGTTTAAGGATTTGGAAATACAAACTTGATGTTGTCAAGAGATATGAGAATTAAATTCAAGACAGCTGAAGGAGAAAATGAGAAGAAAATAACTTTCGCATTGACAAAGTTCGTGTTCCCACAGGAGCGTCAGCTGAACTTCAGTTTCCTGAGGCTCTTTAGAGCAGCCCGACTCATCAAGCTCCTCCGGCAGGGATACACCATTCGCATCCTGCTCTGGACATTTGTCCAGTCTTTTAAGGTAACTCTAGTTAGACTGTTTTGATGCTCATTGCTGGAGATTGTTTTGTTACAAGAAGTTATAATATATTCATTTTTATTTCCAGGCACTGCCTTATGTTTGCCTTCTAATCGCCATGCTGTTTTTCATCTACGCCATTATTGGGATGCAGGTAGATATATACAATAATCTCAGAGCTTCAGTGACTGTAATTACCAGTTAAAGGTCATTGCAGTGTTGGAGTGCATCTTATTATAAGTGAATAAAGCAGGAAATAGGAAAATGTGTTCTGCCTGAAGGTTATTCGATGGTTTCAAAACATGCATTTATTTGATATACCATTGTGATTGCAGGTGTTTGGAAACATTGATTTGAATGATGACACGGCAATCAACCGTCACAACAACTTCCGCACTTTCCTCCAAGCTCTTATGCTTTTGTTCAGGTCTGCACAGTTCTTATATTCCTCAACTACTGCAGTCAAAAACATCTAAATATTAAAGAAAATCTTACAAAGGCTTCTGGGGATGCACTACAGAGTCAGAATCGAAAAGTCAATTTCTAAACTGGCCCTGAACACTATATTTAGCCTGATCACTATATTTAGATTTGACGGATCAGCTTTAATAGCACACATTTGTCCAATGCAGTTAGGATTTTGTGGAGCGCTTTATTTATAATTGATCAAGATCTTTCACAATTGGAACATATTACAGTATAAAGTATTAAAAGATTGGCCTAACTGCAGCCAGCCTAGTCTGATCTCAAGCTGTGGAGCTGCTAAACATCTGAGCTGTGCTCTGTAAGGTTACCTTAGTATTAAAAAGAGATTTCATTTCACGTCCCCTCTGAGAACACCAAGATCTATTTATGGCCGTTTTCTTTTTGCACACCATATTTAAATCATATTATGTGTCTGAGTGTTACCATATTACATTTGTCTGTCAATCCATCTATCTGTCTGTTTCTGTCTACAGTTGCAATCAAAAATATTAAACCCTTCAGAGACCCCAGTTTCCAAGTTTTAATCTCATTCAAATATTTGATGTAACTTGAAGAAAGAAGTGAAAGCTTTGTAAAAAACAAAATTTATCTGTCCTCTGGAAGACAAGAAAATGTCAAGAAAAAGTTATTTTCACATGCCTTGGGGGTTGAACAAGGGCATATGTCCACCGTTTTTTTTTTTTTTTTTTTTTTTTTTTTGCGCTGCAGAAACAAGAGCATTGTTTTAAACAGCTGTGAGTACGTCTCCAACTGAAAAATACACACTCAGCGCCTAGCTATGCACTTGCCATTTAAAAAAAGCGCCACTTCCATTGACAACAATTTTTTTTTTCAATGCATAATTGTGTTTTCATATGAATGTTTAGAGACAATGTGAGGGTTTCTTTTTTCACTGACTTTAAGACCTTAGAACCACACACATGTTTACTGATGAGTTGGCATTCTTAAAGTTTTGTTCATCTATCTATCTATCTATCTATCTATCTATCTATCTATCTATCTATCTATCTATCTATCTATCTATCTATCTATCTATCTATCTATCTATCTATCTATCTATCTATCTATCCATCTATCCATCTATCCATCCATCCATCCATCCATCCATCAATACAACCAAAAGTCTGTCTGCCTGCCTGTCTGTCTCTCTGTCTGTCTGTCTCTCTGTCTGCATGATTTTGTCATTTATTTTATCATCATATTTTTCATTCTAATAGTTATCTTAATTTCCAGTCCTTTGTGCATTGTCTTTCTATCATTCTCCTTTTCTCCTTTGTCTCCTCTTTTGGTAAAAGCACCATCTGGAGTATAAGCCAATGTCGCTAGAAAAACATTTCCTAATGAAACTCATAAATAAATTTCCATCTTTCCCTTATGTTCATTAGCTCAAAGCTTCCCCACTTCAACAGACAGCACATCAGTGTGACAGCAGTGGTAAAAATTAAATCTGGCTCAACTGTAATCGAAATATCAGCACTTGGCCTGTCATCCCAGACAGTCAGTCTTTTTTTTTTTGATAGCAGAAGCTGTACTAATTTAATCAGGTCGTCATTGTGTATATTGCAGGAGTGCCACTGGCGAGGCTTGGCATGATATCATGCTGTCGTGTCTGAGCGAGCGCACCTGTGATCCGAGCTCAGGCACCCTTGGAAAGGAGTGTGGGAGTGACTTTGCCTACTTCTACTTTGTCTCCTTCATTTTCCTCTGCTCATTTCTGGTCAGTGTTCAGAGTCATTCAGGCCAAAACAGGCTCATCATTATTGAAGCATGTCATCAGTGTTGCCAGATATAGCTGACTTTTTCCAGCCCAAAAGCTGTTCAAAATCTGCCCAAACGCACAAAAAGCTCAAAATATCGACAAAAAAAATGTATATTTTATTTAACTTTAATTGATTTAAAAATTAAATTAACCTAGTTACTTCAACTGTCATAAGTTTTCAACATAAAGCATCCAACACCAGTAGTCACAGAACCACAACATAACTGGATCACTGAAACACTGTACCCCCTCTCACCCACACACTGCACTTACTGTTGTGTAGATTAAAATGGGGTATAAATTCGGTTCATTTGGCATTTTAAATTCTTTTGAAACTTATTAGGTGCTGCTTGTCAATCAGACAACACTTCTATGTTTGTTCTTGCTGTCAATTGTGGAAAAAAAAGATTGATAAAAGTGTCATGCTGTGAGTTTAACTGCAGGTTCTGCCTGATGCGCGTGCACATCAGATTTTGATACAACTTTTTTTCACCTCCTCTTGCGAGTGGGCCCATGCAGTTTGAGTTATTCATCGGTCACTACTAACTAAATGGAGTAGGAGCACACAGCTTTGTTAAATATGCTGCATATAAAATGTACAGTTCAAACCCACCAGAATTTTGTCAACCTGCCAATGGCATTTTTTACCCGAACAAACAAATTCAAAGACGCCCAATCTGGCAACACTGCATGTCATTACATTCTAATGCCACAAGAATACTTGATTGTTTCTCTAAAATAAAATAAAAAATCTGGTTTTATGTGACGATAAATGCTATGTTAAAATATCCAACTCATTTGAATTGGGTTGGGTATCAATAGAGATTTCCATGTGAGATATGAATCCAATTCTCACTTCTATTACGATTCATTTTCGGCTAGCAGTTGCAGTCACAAAAATTTAAATTTTTAATGCTATACATTATACAGAATAGTGTTTTATAATTATAAATCTGGTAATGGGGTAATCACACTGCACGTTTCATTCAATTAGCTTACATTTCTTTATATGCAAGAAATCTGCAATTGCCTCTCTGGCTATACCTCTAACTGTACTAAAAAATATATATATATAAATAAATAAAATAAATAAATAAAAAATAAGTAAATAAATAAAATAAAAAAACTTACATTACTAATGCTTTGCTTCTTAGACTTTACACAGCTGAAACTTGCCAACAGCACTTATTCATTGTTGCTCTTATAGTTTTGTAAATTGCTTCCTTGTCCTCATTTGTAAGTCGCTTTGGATAAAAGCATCTGCTAAATGACTAAATGTAAATATAAATACAAGTCCTGGAAATTTTAGCATTTTGCAGTATTTTAAAGTTTACATTTGGTGATTTGGTGAACGCATTTTTTATTACATGAAGACTTATTACACATAAAAGATTGATACATTATGGCATGAACTCTTATCTTAATTAAAAGAACAATCTTTAAAGTTGTAGGAAACTGTAGAATTTTGTATTGCTTTACAATTTGGATTTCCATTGATTATGATGTATTATATTGTAATTTCACAGCAAAAAGTGCAATGCACATATTTTTTTTGGTACAGTCTTCAAACTTAACATAATACAGCTTACAAACTCCCATTTAAATTGAGATTAACTGAGATAAAAAAAAGACTGTAATTATTTAGTGTGTTGAATAGAAGTGAACCAGAAATTGTTACTGAATGTTATCACTTGATTAAATGGGCGTTATCAGTGGTTATCAGCTGATAGATATGGGCCAGTAGGGTCCTTCTGCGCCTACTAGTAGGCTTAGAAGGTTGTTATCATCCATCCACATCATTAATCAGCTATACTTATAGAGAAGACTCCAGATGCAGATCCAGATCTGTTTTTAACGGTAGATTTGTTACCTTGAACAAATGCAGAACAGCCAATCACTGCAATACTTTTATCCATAAACAAAACTTGTATCAGTCATAGACTTGGGTTTGTTACTGATGGTTCATTGGAGAGTTTGACTGATGGTTGCTTAGCAATGTCAGAGGCAAAACTACCGGATCCTGATGAATTACATTGTACAGAGTTTTTTTTTTTTTTTTGCAAATGTGTTGGTGATCAAATCATATTCCCATCTTAAACTAACCATACTGTCTGTTTGTTTGGTGTGCACCAGAGTGCATTTTCTGTATTCACACCACACAAAGAAGGGAAAGCTACTTAAGTTTGATTCATTCTAACCAAACAAGACAGGTGTGATTACAATGAATAAAATCAGAACATCAGACTTTTACCCAGACTTGATTTGCCTTTAACGTCACACTCCCAGATATTATTTATCCTGCTTTGAGAACTTCAGAATCTTTCTTCTCCCACTTTCTCCAGATGTTGAACCTGTTTGTGGCCGTCATTATGGACAACTTTGAATATCTGACACGCGACTCCTCCATCCTGGGCCCTCACCACCTGGATGAGTTTATTCGAGTGTGGGCGGAGTATGACCCAGCCGCATGGTATGTTTCAACCTGCACTCCCCGCCAGATGGAGACCTACTCTTGTGATAAATTTAGTAACAGAGTTTGGCAACAGTTGTGAGAAGGAGAGTCTTTCTGTTAGGTCTCTCAGTTTAGACCACTTTTATAAAAGACAGAGATGCTGAATATTCCTCTTTGATAATGTGTGATTGAAGACCTTCCACGCAATGCCCGTGGTCTGGATATGAATGGGATCTTGTACTCCTATCCACATCCATTCTGTCCACAACACAAATGTGCTCTCCAAGCTTTCTTCATGTATGTGTCATGTTTTGCTTATTCTTTCCGCAGCGGACGGATTTCCTATAAGGATATGTACAATTTGTTGCGAATTATCTCGCCCCCCCTTGGCTTAGGGAAGAACTGCCCTAATAGGGTAGCATACAAGGTTTGCAACCCAAGCAACTTTCTACACTCGTGTGGCCTCTGTGTGCAAACGCCCAGAGACCCAAACTTGAATGGCTGTGCTCAAATGACTTGCGAACACACAAGCACTTGCCCCACCAGATTTGACTGGCTTTGGTTAATGATGCTGGATGGGAAACAAAGCTTTCAAGGCCATGTATTGAAATTTGAACACACTTAAGTACATTATTAGCATTCCCAATTCAAGGATGGCCATTTGACTGATATCAAGCAATACTGATTGATTTACATTTATATATCTAAACCTTAAAAGTCATGAATTAAATCAAATGAAGCTGGCGTTGAAACCTTTGTTTCCGTGCACTGAAAGAGGAAAATCCCCTGATGTCTCAGCATGCAGATGCAGACATCTTCAAACAATGCAGCCATTCTGTCACCATCCACTCCTCGTGTCATTTCACTCACCTCTTCCATCTCTCCTTATCAGGGATCAACTCTCTCACCTCTGACCTCTGACCTCTAACCTTCGGGATCCATCTCTGACCCTGCCAGGCCAGGATGGCATCCCTGTCCATGACACTCTTGGAAATCTAATTAACAAAAGATTTCTGTTTTTTGTCGTCTGTTGTTTGTCTTTTTTTATCATTTTGTCTTGTTTGGTTTACTTTCTGGACCTCCTTGTTTCTCTTCCCGTCTCTCTAACTCCCCATCCTTTTCTTTATTTTGGATTTTTTGCGTTGTCTGCACTGTGAAGTGGCCGTATCAAGTACCTCGATATGTATGAGATGCTGCTCCACATGTCCCCACCTTTAGGTTTGGGAAAGAAATGTCCTCCACGAATCGCCTACAAGGTAGCTCAACTTCACATGCCCTTTCCCCCTGCTCGTACTGTCTTCTCATTGGCTTATTCTTCAGCCAATCTCTGTGCTCTTGCAGTGTTTCCCCTCGTTTTTTTGTTTAACTGTTTTTTTTTCTCCCCACGCTCTGATCTTTTTGGTGTAGTCCCTCCTTTTCCTTTTTCAAGATCTCCCCTACACGTCCTGTGTCATCTAGGGATGGTCACAGATTAATAATGAGTATGACTACAGAACTTAAGTGTGTTTAATGGTTGATTACAACACAGGTTTATTGGGAATACATGTCTATAGTGATATTGATGTTGCTTTTGTACATTTTACAGTGCTGTATAGACCAGATCATTTGAATCTGTGAATTGTTACCTGGACACTCTGAGCACATTTTAACTGAAAAGAATCAGCTCATTTGTGAATTGAACAGAGCAATCAGGTCTTTGAGCAAGTGACAATTTATCCAGCTCAAATCATGAGAAATGATTTGGAATACAGTGAAGCAAAAGTTTTCCAAAATTGCGATGCTGACCAGAAAATGTATTTGTTAACAAATCACAGACTATGGTGAAAGTGTTTTTATATGAACAAGGAACCTCACAAAAATACTACGCAGGCTTTTCTGAAAACGTAGCCCTATATACGTTTCTGTAGATCACGAATTACGTAACCAGAAGTACGCATGGCTGCATTTCGTCTGTAAAATTAACACTATGGGGTGGCTTGACACCATTCCCTTTTGTGCTTATCAACTTACCTCCTATGGACAGCATGTTGTAAAATGTGAAATTGTGGTAAAAGTCATGTGACAGCTTTTCTTTTTTCAGGGTTGCTTTTTAAAACTGTTGGTTGGGTTTTGGGAACTGGGTGGATCAATCCGTGCTTTTGAATACATCATTGGTTGGGTTTAGGGAAGGAGGAGGGTGGGTCAGTCAGTCAGTCATTCAGTCAGTTGACAGCAGCCTCTGGTGCATTTACGTAAGAAGAGCAGGCGCGAATGGAGATATTTGCGTGAATAAAGAGATATTTGAGATCAAAAAGCAACCTCTGGTGGATTCGCAAAAAAAAAAAAAAAAAAAAAAAACATAGCTCCTTGGACGTATTTGGTGCTCTCCAGAAATGTATATAGCAGTACATTTTCAGAATGAGCTTTGGGTGCAATTATGTGTTTATCAATCAATAATCTTTAATAAGATTTTAATAATATATTTTATATCTAATCTTTTATATATATATAATGTTTTAATACCAATAATCTTTTAATAATATTACATTTTGTGTCAAAGTGTTTATCAATCAATAATCTTTAATAATATTACATTTAATAATAACACATTTTTAATAATATTACATAATATTATATAAACATTTTACATTTGTATTACATTTTTTGTGTGTGTAACATTAAAGTTTGTTTCTATGTTTTTGAGTTTTGCTAAAATGTAGGTAGAGACATGTACTTTCAATAAGCATATGTTTATGATAATAATTGTAAGTGAGATTGTAAATCTCAGTTTTATCTGTGGTCATACTTCATATGTATAAGATTTGCCCCAAAAGTTGCATTGTGTAAGGGTTTGTGCACGACATTGCAAAAAGATTTTCTCTACCAATCATGCACTTTAAATGCAAAATATTTTATGTAAATATTTACATAAAATTTGCCCAAAATGCACCTCCTATGGGTTTCTCTGTCTTTGGGATTCATTAAAAGGCCCCAAATTTAGCTCAAAAACCTCTTTCAGAGCCCGTTATGTTAAATTAGAACAGGAAAGTTCCCCCCTCTCACCCTTGTTTTCATGGAGCAGTGTGTGTGTAACCTAAGTTGCTTTCAGTCATGAGAACTATGCACTTGAACTCTCTCTCTTCCACTGTTGGCGGTTTTTCACTTATATTCTCTTTGAGTCTTGCTTGTGCTGTCTATCTCTCATCCACTTGATCATTACCTCTGTGTTTTCTTTCTCATGTGGCCTTCTCTCTTTCTCTCTCTCTCTCTCTCTCTCTCTCTCTCTCTCTCTCTCTCTCTTTCTCTCTGCAGTGTGTGAGAATGAATGTTTATATGTGAGACTGTCCACTTCTTTTTTTCATCCTGAACTGTTTTTCTTGCACTGCTACTGCTAGTACATGTATGCTCTTTTGCTCAGGGGAGCTCAACTCTTCACAATTAATCACACAAAATCTTATACCTAAAAATATAAATCATATGATTTTACTTGTCATGTTTAAAGGTGCACTCAGTCATTTTCCTATGAATAGTATTTAACATTTGCATACAATAATGTACAAAACTATTTGTTTGTGTAACTCCTTTTTTGAATTGTTTGACACCTGTTCTCACAGAATAAATAATTCATGATTGATTGCAAATTTAGTATTTTTGCAAATATACCGCAATAGAAATATTTAAGGGATGCTACATCAACACCAGTTACACTCTCAGGATTAAAGGTGCATGAGCTGTCACTGTAGTTAGGTCTACACTACCTAACAAAAGTCTTGTCATCAATCCCAGTTATAAGAGCAACTAATTACAACTTGACTTCTAGTTGATTATTTGGAAAAGTGGCAGAAGGTAGATTTTTCCGATAAATCATCTGTTGAACTGCATCCCAAACATCACAAATACTGAAGACCTATTGGAACCAGCATGGATCTAAGATTCTCACAGAAATCAGTCAAGTTTGGTGAAGGAAAAATCAAGGTTTGGGGTTACATTCAGTTTGGGGGTGTGCGAGGGATCTGCAGAGTGAATGACAACATTAACAGCCTGAGGTATCAAGACATGTATGCTGCCCATTACATTACAAACCACAGGAGAGGGCAAATTCTTCAGCAGGATGGTGCTCCTTCTTATACTTCAGCCTCCAAAGAAGGTCAAGGTGCTCCAGGATTGGCCAGCCCAGTCACCAGACATGAACATTATTGAGCACATCTGGGGTAAGATGAAGGAAAATGCATTGAAGATGAATCCAAAGAATCTTGTTGAACTCTATGAGTCTTGCAAGAACAATTTCTCCGCCATTCCAGATGACTTTATTAATAATAAGTTATTTGAGTCATTGCAGAAATGTATGGATGCAGTCCTCCCAGCTCATGGGAGTCATACACAGTATTAATTCTTTTTCCACTGCACCATGACTTTATATTTTATACTGTACAATATTTCTGTTAAGTGATGAGACTTCTGTCTATAAAAAAGTCAGACTGTCCTAAATAAATAAAATTAAAAATTAAGGCATGATCCTATTTTATTTTAGTAAAATAAACAATCTAGAGGCCTTTGCCTTTCAAATAAGCCACTTCTGATACCAAATGATCAGCTAGAAGTCAATTTATTTTTTGTTTTTCCTAAAACTTGAATAGGCAACAAGACTTTTGTCAGGTTGTGTAAATTAATACCTCAAGGATACACATTAGTACCTAAAAAGTACAAAAGTGTACCTATTAAAGGATTTAGGTTCTAGTATATACTTTTAAAGTACCATTTTAGACCCTTTAAACAAAAATGTATACCTTTTGAAAAGGTACCACCTCAGATGCAACTGTCGTACCTTTATTTCTGAGAGTAGTACATACATATTCCTGTGCAATATAAAAACTAAAAAAAAAAAATAAAAAAAAAATGAGTGTACCTTTAAAAGTAGAATGTAATTTCAGTAATTCCAAACCAAAATGACACAACTGACCTTATATACATGATTTGTACTGTTTTTATAATATGTCTGAACAAGCCATTTTAAATGTATGTTTATCCGTATTATATCTACAAAAAGGCACTGCTCAGCATTTGGCTCATTAATGAAACTGCTCATTAATGAAACTCTAAAAGCACTTTTATTGATTAGTAACCCCAGAGTCGAGCTCCCATGTCCTCTGAAGCCCCTCATGGTTATGTGTACATGCTTTTCTTCACTCTCGAGTTGGTGTCGGTTTATCACTAGTGCACTTTGGTTGCGGATCGTAGCCTATAGCAGTGAATGTGAATGTTTGATTCTGTATGTTTCATGTGAACAAAACTGTTTGTGTGCTTGAAAAACTAGGAATAAAAAACACTGACCACTTTCAATATATTTGTAGCTCGATTGCTGGAATGCATGAGTCAGTAAAAGAACATAACTGTCTAATCGCAAATGCACACAAACTGTTTTGTTTAAGTTTTTGGGTTGATCTGCATAATGCTGGTTTGAGGAGTGTGTTTACCACACTAATAAACCTCATGGCTCCCCCTAGCGTCTGGTGAAAATGAACATGCCCATTGCGGATGACAACAGTGTACACTTTACCTCAACGCTGATGGCTCTGATCCGTACTGCCCTGGAGATCAAACTGGCTTCAGGTCAGTAAGTCTCTTGCCCTTTTTATTGTCTAGATGATTGGGTAGTTAATATATAGATTAGACAATTTTCATCCAGAAAATTGTATAACCTTCTCTCGCTTAATAAAGAATCTGCCTTTCTTTATTCCAAATCACTCCAAATGTGATTAGTGCCTGATGGAGAGATTAACTCTGTGCGATCTGTTCTGATGCTGCTGCCTGTGCCATTTCCACTCATCAGAGCAGTGTGTGTGTGTGGGATGGTGTGTGTAGCATCTGTTGTTGTATCTCTCTTTGAGTTTGGCACTGGATGGAATTTTCTTGCTGCACTACATTTTCACAAAGCAACTCCTCAGCAGTACTGTTGGCAATGCTTTGGGTTGCATTGATCTAAATTTATTAACCCTTTTTTTAAAGATTTTTTTTGACCTTCTTTGTAATGTAATGTTGCTGTGGTGCTGTGGCGTCTTTCATAAGTTTATTAGGCACAATATGTAATTTGTGAATAGTGGTATATAGCTTTTAGAATAGTGCTGTAGTTTGCTGACTTATGTAATTAGATTTTTATGATATGTTTTGAGGAATGTTCAGATCCAGAAAAAATAGGTTTTTCAAACTAGTGGCACAGAACGTTTTATTGTGCCACCATGCCGATGTCACACACCTTCAATTACCACTTTGGTTTTATTGAAACAAGTAAATCCCCAAAAAATGCATTGATATCTTGTGCATTTTTTAGACTGCACAGAGCATTATAACAGAAGCCTGACAAGTATTTAATATATTAAAACTTTTTCCTCACATGATCAAATACAATAGAACCAGAAGCTGTTGATTGTGCCTTAATACACAGAATCAATTAACTGAGAAAAAAAAAAAAAAAAAAATATATATATATATATATATATATATATATATATATATATATATATATATATATATTATTGGCTCAATAAATGAATTAATTATTGGCTGAATGAATGAATGAATGAATGAATTATTATCTGAATGAATGAATGAATGAATGAATGAATGAATGAATGAATGAATGAATGAATGAATGAATGAATGAATTGTTGGCTAAATGAATAATTAAATGAATTATTGGCTGAGCGAATATTTGAAGTAAATAAATAAATGAATTATTAACTGAATTAATGAATTATTGCTTGAATGAATAAATTAATGAACAAATGAACAAACTTTTTCCTGAAAGAATAACATAATAAATTAATGAATTGATAGCTGAATGAATGAATTTTTGGCTTAATTAATTAATCAGTTAATTGTTGGCTAAATTAATTAATTAATTGTTAACTGAATAAATAATAAATCATTGGCTGAATGAATGAATTATTGGCTAAATGAATGAACGAATTAATGAATTATTGGATGAGTGAATGAAGGAATGAATTATTGGCTAAATGAATGAACAAATAAATTAATGACATATTGGATGAATGAATGAATGAATGAATGAATGAATGAATGAATTAATTAATTAATTAATTAATTAATTAATTAATGAATTTAGAGCAGATGAAAACTAAAATGTTTGAAAGGAGAATGTCTTTGAAAAAAATAATCAAACATTGAAATAATTTGACTGTATTGCATTGTGTATTAGGGCCAATTTACACCACACTAATAGAGGTAAACAAATGGCAACAGTTTGTCAGATTTTGCTGCATCAATATGTAGCCTCTGTGTCTGAATCAGCTGTTGTTGGTTCAAAGAATGTCTGCGATGGCTATAATTTTGGTGATTACTAGTGTTTATCATGATCTGCCAATGTGGGGGGAATTGGCATGGAAAGGAAATACACTTAATGTACTTTGGTGCTCATGAATGTGTCCACAGGCATGGTGGCTCAGCGTCTGTCAGATGCTGAACTGAAGAAGGAGCTCTCTACAGTTTGGCCAAACCTGTCTCAGAAGACCATGGACCTGCTGGTCACTCCACATAAACGTAAACACCATAATGATTCATTACTCAGAAGATTCTTTCTAACTTTGACTAAAAATACTCTCAAACACTTGCACACACACACACACACACACACACACACACACACACACACACACACACACACACACACACATACACACACATACACACACACACACACACACACACACACACACACACACACACACACACACACACATATATATATATATATATATATATATATATATATGTGTGTGTGTGTGTGTGTGTGTGTGTGTGTGTGTGTGTCAGAAGAAGCACAAATATACCATATGTAAACCAAGCATATCTGTAAACATATCTGAACATAACACTGAACTAATGACATCTAGTGGTCACTAATGGAACTTGGAATAACACAACTAATACAATGTATTTGTGTCTCTTGCAGCTAATGAGCTCACAGTGGGGAAGGTGTATGCAGCTCTTATGATCTTTGACTATTACAAGCAGAACAGAGCAAAAAGACTTCAGATGCAGCAACAGCAGCTGAAAGAACAGGCAGGACCTGGATCTCAGGTGATGCATAAGGACACGTTCAAAACAAGTCACAAGTTTCATCATATTAAATAGTGCTACCAAAACAATCAACCATGATCAGTTGTATCCAAAACAAAACTTTGTTTTTTATATGTCTTTGTGCTGCTATGCATATTTATTATTTATTATGTGTGTGTGTATGTATATATATATATATATATATATATATATATATATATAGTCAGCGTGACCTGAACATTTCTGAGACTTTTATTTCAATATATTGCTGTACAGTACTTCAGACTGAAACTGAATATTGACTAGGGGCAGGGTTTTTTTTTTGGTGCATCATTCCTTTACAATAAACTAACATAAGAGGAGGGGTGGGCTTAAAAATATTGTGGCTGATGCCATCAAACGAACGTAGGCAAGGCAAAGCAAACTTTTTACACAATTTTACACAACCGTAGTTGATCCAAAGTGCTTTACGATAATAAAATAAAATATTTTATAAAAAGTTAAATAAAACTTGTATTAAAAATATAAGAAAAAAAAAAGAAAAAAAATATATATATAAACTGAAATACAGATATGAAACAACATGCATACATCACTCAAAGGCTGGGGTGGAAACATCTAAAGTCTTTAAATTGGTTTTATTTAAATTTCAGTTATCTTTGGAATTTTTGTTTGTTGCCTGTTTTGCTTTATTTGTAAATTACCAATGCTCAATTAAAAAAGTATTTAACTTAGATTTAAAAGCATCCAATGATGGAGAAATCCTGATGTTCAGTGGGAGACAGAAAGCTCGATCACCTTTTGATTTGCAGCGAGACAGAGGGACAGACAAAAGAAACTGATCAAAGGACCTTAATGACCTACAAGCTGTATATGACCCAGGTTCACTGATATAGACACTGATATAGAATTGTGCAATGTTTTATTTGTGAAAAGACGGATCCTAAAATCAACTCTGAGTTTTAAAGGAAGCCAGTGCAATGAGGCAAGGACAGGGGAGATATGATCTCTTTTCTTAGTCCCTGTTATCAATCTGGCGGCTGCATTCTGAACCAACTGTAACCAAGACAGTGTTGACTGAGGTAGACCAATGTACAAAGAGTTACAGTAGTCTAACCGAGAAGAAATGAAAAATTACATCAACATTGAACGACTACCACTCCAAGTCTGAAAGCAAATAGGCAGACTTCCATTGAAGATTATAACATTTTATTTTATTTCTCCAGTGTATTAACTTATAAAGAATTGTTTCCCTAAACAATACCAATGTGCACTTGACATTGTAAATTTTGACTTTTCAGTCACCAAACTATAACACTACATAAATAGAAGTACAATAAAAATATTTTTTTGTCAAAAATAAAAACTGATGGTAATGAACATCTGGACACATCTGCTCTCTCTCTTCCTGTGTTTATAACAGTGTGTTTTGACTTTCTCTGTTTGAAGAATAAAGTCAGCGCTCTCTTAGAGCCCATTCTCCCACTAACCCACATGCAAGATCAGCCAGTGAACGGTGTCGATTCAGCTTCAGAGTGTCAAGCTCAGACCAGACCCAGCTCCACCACACTCAACAATGGACGCACAACGTGAGCACAGAATCCTTGCTGCCTTCACATTCACTACATTAACAGTAACATGTTTGCTCTATCTATTCAGATGTCTTTTTTTCTCTTGCCTAGTCTTGACAACACAATAAAAGGGTCTTCATCCTGGGCCTCAGAGAAATCCAAGGAAGTCCAAAAGTCTAAACGGAGACCAATGTCTAGAGGTCAATCTGAGGATGCCTCAAATGCAAACACTGCCCAGGTGCTGTAATTAAACTCTCAGTGTTTTTCTTGTGTGATCTTGTGTATTTAACTCTTTATGGTGTTTGTGTGTGTATTAGGAGTCAGTAGAAATGAGAAAGATGGAGAACAGTGCCAACACAGTGACCTCTGGTGGCCTTGAGGGCCAAGGACGTGCAGCGTCCATGCCAAAACTCAATGCTGAGATGCAGGTATGCAGTTTTAGTTGTTTAATTTGTAACAACATAAGTGAATATGCTTAATGAGGAATGCAAATGATTGAGGATTTATGCCTTAATTCTAAATAGGACTGAGTAAGATGGACAATAAATAATGTTTGTATTTTTGGACTGAATTTTGCTAAATATAATATGTTATGTTTACTGTTTACTATCAAAGAATTGTCTGAAACAATGATTGCTGTATGCACATGCATCTATTATTATTCTTATAGCTGACTGCATAATTTTAGTTATTCATTTTCTTTTCGGCTTAGTCCCTTTATTCATCAGGGGTCGCCACAGCGGAATGAACCACTAACTTATCCAGCATATGTTTTACGCAGCGGATTCCCTTCCAGCTGCAACCCATCACTCTCATTCACACACATACATTACGGACAAGTTATCTTACCCAATTCACCTATACCACATGTCTTTGGACTTCTGGGGGAAACTGTAGCACCACAAGGAAACCTAGGCAAACGCAAGGAGAACATGCAAACTCCACACAGAAACGGCAACTAAGCGAGCCGAGGCTCGAACCAGCAACCTTTTTTCTGTTAGGCAATTGTGCTACCCACTGCTACCGTGCTGCTCATAATCTTAGTCCTGTTTTATAAATACAAAAGAAACATTTTTCACATGCCAGGTCTGATGAAAATGGAGCATTTTCTTCTGTTTCAAGGCACAGGGGAAGTAAAACATAATACAATTAGTCATTGGTAGGTTGCCAGATCTGCACCCTGGATCAGTTTTCGGCCTGTGCTGGCTAGGAGGAAGTGAACTGCAGCTCACAATCAGACTAAGTAGACTGTCAAGAAAGAGGTTGAGATTACTTTTTGCTTACTTTGAGATGGACTTATAAACCCATCTTTGTTTGAATAAATGCAATTTGCACAGAACTAGCTGAAAGGACTGATGCATTTTACAAATGGATTGTTTTGTTTTAGGATCTCAGCATGCAGCTTGCTTTATGTTATAGTATGCCAGAACGATAGCGTCAAAAATAAATCTAAAATCATGCAAGCATGAAATTCACATTCCATTTGGGCTCGGCAAAAGACAATCCGTCCATTAAGACTCATCAGGATATTCCTCCTATCAAATCACACCTATCCCACACCTCTCCAGTGCTAATGGGCTGCCCGGGCTCGCTGAGTGCCTCTATTTCACTCCTAAATTTGATTCCCATCCAAAACCAAATCTCTTTAAAGTGCAAGACCAACCGATAAGAGACATTAGATGCTGAATGTAGCGTTTCAGCACCTGCTAATATGGCCAAATCCCTCTGATATCTGCCGAGGAAATCCCTTCTCCACTGGCACACAGCCACCTCCCATCCTTCTGCTCGGCGGATGAAAAGAAGGAACGAAATAACAGCCTCAACACACAGATTCTTTTAAACCAGAAACTTTGCATAACTATGACACATGGGAATACCTGTAAAGACATGATTTACAAGCATGCCTTAAGGAATGACTTGGTTCTGCCATAGATGGACAGAAGAATAATGATAAATGGGAATATGAAGTCATAGAGACAAAATTGTGTTGCTTCAGAAAAAAACAATAATAATAATAAATAATAATGAAATAATTTATATTTATTGTTTATAAAATAGCATGCATCTTTTGTAAGCATTCAGAAAAATAATTAGATCTTATCTTTTCACAGCTGGGGTTTTCAGTGTGGTTTTATAAAAAAAAAAATATATATATAAATATATATATATATATATATATATATATATATATATTTAAAGTATGTAAGAAACCATGCATTGAATGAATATATTTGTTTTGATAACATTTGCCTATAAGTAGTTTTAAAGGGAACCTATTTTACCTCTTTTGAAATATATAAGATAAGACTTTGGTGTCTCCAGAATGTGTCTGTCAAGTGTCAGCTCAAAATACCCATTCAATTATTTATTATATAACGTAGAATCAGCCCATGTTGGTGTCTGAGTATACTTTAGCTGTTTTTGTAGCCTGTGGCTTTAAATCCAAATGAGCTGCTTCTCCCTGTCCACCACTCCGACGTGCATGTCTGCTTTTTCATGCGTTACTTCAGATAAACAGCCGTCAGTGATAGAAACAGACATAGATGAATCTGAAATAAGATCACGAGTCAAAAATACTAAGTAAGTTCATTTGATGTATTTGTGGTGGAGTTTAATCAAGCCTTTCTGAAATGATGAGTCACACAGAAATGCTGTTTGCAGTAGAGCTGTAATTGGGCCATAAAAGTTAGGTTCAGCACGAGCCCGACAATTACATGTTCATTGTCAGCTTTTTAAAAGCTTGAACCTGTTTACAGTCTGACATTATTCAACTGTGCACATGCACACAGCTCTTTTGCCTTTTTTTAAGAATGAGTCATTTATGCATGTTTTAACATTATTTATTTATAAATATACATATACAAATGTATAGGCCACTTGAAAGTTGAAACAAGGGAATAAAATAGGTCCTCTGTAACATCATAACATCTCAGCACTCTATTTAGGCCTAGGTAGCTTTTAAATTGGCCAATACACCAATAAAAATGAGTCTTTCCTAACAAATTAAATTAAAATAAATTCTAAATTGATGGATATCTGACAATAACAATATTAATATAAGATAAAGGCTCTGTGAGATTTGTTTTGCCACTTCTCTTCACAATCCTGCCTTAAGGCAATGGTGTAGCTGAATTATAAAAGAATAATGCCAATATTAGTCTATATACTCTGTCTATATACATAATGCAATTTTGATTTAATTAATAATTAGTTATAATTTGAAAATCTTTTACTCACCAAGATTAGGTTACGTGTTTTTTTGGAGGAACATAATTGAATCTACCGTAGATGGCTTTAGCCTGGTGTTGAGCTCACTGAAGGTGCGTCCAGCAGCACTGAACACCCTTTCACTGCTGCTGCTGGCCGGGATGCATACTGTTGTACTGATCTGGCTAATTTTGTAAGTTTTGGGTAAGATTGTTTGTTCATTTTCCACCAGCCAACAACATTTATTTCATTTTCCATGACAGCGGTTTTTATAGTTGAAATGTTTAACGTTTCAAAAAGTTGATATTCACATGTGCCCTTTAAAGTATGACCTTATTCTACATCCTTAATCCAACCCAAAACCTTAACCCAAATACTATTAACTAAGCAGCTAATTAGTAATTTATTGAGCTTATAATCTTCGGTAATGATTTATTAGTGTGAATTGTGACTTTTTGAGCTTTGGCTCAAGATAATTTTGCTTGAAGTACAGCACATAATCACTACTTGCTCCAAGCTGACATATTTTCATGTAATGTTTGTTATTCTTTTCTCTCTTTCTATGTTGTATCACATTTTGTCTTCTGATGCGCTCAGAGGAGTCATTCCCGTCAATCTCCTGGAACATTACTGGAAGTATGATTCAGTTTTTTTAAATATTAAAATGTATATATAAATATTCTAGACTGCAGTAAGACTTCAGATTAGAATCTAAGATGAACTTCATGTTTTTAGTTAAGCCTGTCTGTCCTCAGTATCAGAATCTAAGAATTAGCATCCTGTTGTACTGCATAACATGAAATCAAAGGAGCTCTATACTGTGACTGACCTTTGATCGTTTCAGACGTTGTTAAAACACACCTGTGGATAGGAGCATAAATTGGGGGTCTAAGCCCAAAATTAACGTTTCCACAAATGGGATTAGCTCAGCTGCTACAGATGTTACCCTGCCTATGATACTTTAAGGCCATAATTAGCCCTTGGATAGTTACTATGGTTCAGAGCTCATCCTTGTTTTGATGCATATGAAATAAAATAGAGGTTTAACGTACAAGACAATGTTATTATAGGCAATTTTGGTACAGCATTCCTTGTAATATTCCAAGATAACAATATCCAATTTATGTAACCACCACTTTTTTTTTTCTCAGCCCATTCCAGATTCCCCCATGAGGCGCTCTGCATCCACTTTTGCACCACAGCGCCCTCACGAGGTGAATCTGAATGACTACATTCTGGAGAAACCTGTTCAGGAACGCCATCACCACCATCACCATCATCACCGATGCCATCATCGCCGGGACAGAGACAAGAAACAGAGATCTCTGGACAGGTCGCCTACTGGCCATCACAAAACTACAGGTCAGTATAATTTTGTTGCTGCTATTGTGAATTGTGAAACAGTTAACAGCAAGAAGCAAACCTGCATTGTTGTTTCATTAAAGAATCTCTCTTATTTTGCTACAGGTCTGTATAGTTTTATTGCTGTTGGGTCTCTGTGAAACACAATTAACAGCAAGAAGCAAGCCTGTTTCATCAAAGGATCTTTTTTTTGCGTCATTTTAAATGAATCTTAAACAGGAATCAGTTGTGTTGAGGATTGGTAAAGTGCAGAAGCAGGGCCTGATGTGAGAGTGTCCGGCCGCAGCTGGCCTCTATTAGTCAGATAAAAGAGGCTGACAGACACGCAGACCCATGACCTGCTAATTTATGGTTCCCTCTCAGCAGGCCAATAGAGAGCAAGGAAGAAAAAATTCAGAGGCAGTCAGGTTTTTGACTTGAGTCTGTTGAAGAATGTGAAATCCAGAGGAGAGCGGACACTATGAGAGATGAGGCTGCCACAGCAGGGCTCAGTGGCTCAAGAAATTCTGTTGTTTTGTTTTGTTTTAATGTTTTTTTTTTTTTTTTTATCAGGAGGGCGTAAAAATACCTTAGCCTTTCTCAAGTTCTAAAGTGAAAATTGTGCTTAATTATTTTCATTTGTAAAACAAATTTAACATGCAATGCAGAGTTTTATGATGTATTTTAAAAATGTTGTTTGAATATTAAATACAATTTTTTATTAAAATTGAAAAATTTAAATGTAATTTTTAAAGTTAAAACAGCTTAAAGCATCTTTAAATAGAATATACATATTTATAATTAAATCTTCATATGTTTGATGAAACATTTTGATGTTTTAAAGGGGTGGTCTAGAGTGTATTTTTAAGGCTTGGTTATGTTTCTAAGATGCAAAGCAATTTGTGCACTTGTCACGTATCATTTGTGTCGTGTCATTTGGAAGCTCAAATACAGAAACAGAACAAGCTCTGTGGAAATAGCAGCATTTGGACAGCATTTTAGTTTTCTCTGCTAAAACATTACTGCACTACAGCGCCTCTGGCCACGCCCCTTAACTGTGCGGGGTGTATGCGTTTGGTGAATGCGAGTAAGTGTTCGTGATCTCACTAACCCGGATGTATTTTTTTGTAGTCCCCAAACTTTGTTCGCTGTAGGCCTTGCTAAGCTAACTCTGTAAAAGCCAATGTCTCTCTTTGCATTGAACTTTGAGCGTCTTACATTCAGAGAGTATGTTTATTTTCTCACAGCTACATTACACACCAACTAAAGTTTAAAATATGATCTCGTAGTGGACCATCCCTTTAAAAGATGGTCTTTCTTGTCCTCATTTTCAGGCACAGCCACTGACTCTGTAGAGGAGAGGGCACATGACCGGGGTCGTTCCCATGAGAGGAAGCACCATTCATCTTCAGGAGAGAAGCAGCGGTATTACTCGTGTGATCGCTATGCCAGTCGGGAACACTGTTCCAGCAAATCTGCCGTGGCAAGCTGTGCCACCTCACCCAGCGAGACCCAGGAGGCCAATCTTAACAAGCAGGTGGGATAGTTGGTGTCGAAACAGGACAGGGACATGTGTTAAAATGAAATGTTGAGTCAGGTGCTTAGAGACTGGAGAATGGGGTATAAATCCTGAGTTAACAGTAAGCTCTACAGGCAGCATCTACCTGTACGTCCCTGAGAATGGAAAAGAAAACACACATTGAGCCTTAAGTACAGTAAAGTACTGTGCAAAGGTCTTAGGTAACCATTAGATTTGTTGTTTTAGCAATGGTATACTTTCCATATAATCATCTCTCAGTTTCAACCTGAACAGCGAAATCATATTTGGAGGGAAAAACAGCTGATAAAACACTGACAGTCATCAACTGGCCAAATTCCAGACCTGAATATTTGGGATTACCAAATATACAAAGTAATAAATAAATGTTTCAAGCAATGATATAAGTCTTAAATTATTTGTAGTATTGATATGATTTTAAAAATGCTCCGTATACTTTATATATTGGTAATTATAAACACTGATTTGGCCCTCTTTGAATGAGCCTTCTGTGTAGATACAAACATGTCAATGATTACAACAAGTTGCTTTTTTATATAGTGATAAGACATTAATTCTAAACAATATATTTTTCATGTTACAACCCCTTTAAGTTTTATACACATTACCATGAAACTAATATGTTTGAGTGGCTTATCAGCTGAGTTAAATTCATTTGAATTCAATTCATGAACTCAACTTCTGTCAGTCATTAACAGTAAAAGAGTTTCTAGGTCAATTAGCTTTCATTTATTTTTAATAATTAAAACAACTCTGCATTTTCCCACATCTACTGGCAGCAAATGTATCCAAATAATTGTAATTGAATTAATATATGCATTAAAAGGTAAAGTATTGAGGTGATTGGTTGGTTGAAGTATTTTAAATCAATGAGAATATTGAGACAATGTATATTGTTTTGTTACAGAATTTTTGGTTGCACTTTCTTTGCCCATGTACTTAAAGTCCAAATTAAATCAAAATGTAAAATCTGAAACAAAGCAAATGGTTGTTTTGGTAGTCTTTGGCAAAGTCTGCGTATCCCTTCAGCAATTAATTTGCTGAAAGAGAAAGATGAGAGGAGGAGTGCAAAAGTAAAACCTCACTCCCAGTCATCTGGTTCCGTTGGAAATACACCTTTGTACCAAAATGAAAGACTGTAGCAACTTCCAGTTCTAGTGGTCTTAAACATGTATTTACCTAAGGGATATGTATGCCTACCAATGGGATATTTAAGGTAAATATATGGGTTATAGTAAGGTTTAGGAGTAGGTTTAGTGACCTATTGTGGTTATTACCCAGTACATGTACACTACCTGTCAAAAGTCTTGTCCTCGATCCCAGTTGTAAGAGAATCAAATAATAACTTGACTTCTAGTTAATCATTTGGAAAAAGGGCAGAAGATAGATTTTTCTAATGAATAATCTGTTGAGCTGCATCCCAAATTATCACAATTACTGCAGAAGACCTGTTGGAACCCGCATGGACCCAAGATTCTTATAGAAATCAGTAAAGTTTGGTAAAGGAAAAATCATGGTTTGTGGTTACATTCAGTATGGGGGCGTGCAAGAGCTCTGCAGAGTGGATGACAACAACAGCTTGAGGTATCAAGACATTTGGACTGCTTAATAGATTACAAATCACAGGAGAGGGTAAATTCTTCAGAAGGATGTGCACTCCTTCTCATACTTCAGCCTCCACAATAAAGTTCCTGAAAGCAAAGAAGGTCAAGGTGCTCCAGGATTGGCCAGCCCAATTACCAGCCTTGAGCATTAGTGAGCATGTCTGGTGTACGATGAAGGAGGAGGCATTGAAGATGAATCCAGATAATCTTGATGGAAAAACACTTTCTTTGCCATTCCAGATGACTTTATTAATAAGTTATTTGAGTCATTGCAGAGATATATGGATGTCTTCGTCCAAGCTCATGGGATTCATACACAATATTAATTAGTTTTTCACTGCACCATGACTTTATAGTCTATACTGTACAATATTTCTGTTAAGTGGTGGAACTTTTGTCTAAGCAAATTTAGACATTACAATCCTAATTAAATAATTAAAAATCAAAGCATTATCATATTTTATTTTAGTAAAATAAGCGTAATCTAGAGGCCTTTACCTTTCATATAAGCCACTTCTGATGGCAGATGATCATTTAAAAGTCAAGTTATTATTTGTTGTTCCTAAAACTTGGATTGGCGACAAGACATTTGTCAGGTTGTGTAAAGACTATGGGAAGTACATATTATGTACATAGAAACAGTACAGTAAATAAAGTGCAACCCAATATTTTTCCTCTGTTTTACATATTGTGATGATGTGCAGTAAAAGTTTCTCTTCTCTTGAGCTGTAGTGCAAGCACTCATAGGCTTTCACTTCTCTTTCCACTCTTCCTCCACACCATTTCTCTGTGCATTTGTCTGTCTTTTCTTTCCTTGTTGTTGATGTCATCTTCATTTTTGTCCTATTTGTCTTCCATCTTTTTCTGTCTTGTCCAACATATTGTTCCTTCCTTCCTTCCCTTGGCTCCTGGTCCCTGTCTAACCATTTGGGCATTTCCCCCTCATCGTTTTTATTGTTTTGATTTGCTTGTTTAATTTTCATCTAGGGCAGTGGGTGGGCTAAGGGGAGCCCGGTGTTGTTGACTTCAGGGGCGAGCACTCCAAGCCGCGGGCGCAGACAGCTGCCCCAGACCCCCCTCACTCCTCGTCCCTCCGTGGCCTACAGGACTGCCAACTCTTCCCCTGTGCAACTTCTGGCCACAACGACCAGCTTGCTTCCCCCGAGTCCCGGCAGGCTGAGCCGTGGTCTGTCCGAGCACAACGCTCTTTTACTCAGCGGCTCTATCTCCAGCTCGCCGGCCCCCGTCAGTCGCATTAACTCAGAACCCTTCTTGGGGCCCCCGGACCACCCTGCTGGCTTGCAGCCCGAAGCCTTCGCTGTCTTCCAAGAGAATCCGAGCCCTCAGATGGGCCGTTCTCCTCAGACTGTAGGGATGCCCTTCGTGGCGATCCCCCCACCTCCCCCACAGCAGTTTCGCAGGGTCCCCAACGGGTACCACTTCTCCACGGGCCCCAGCGCCAGCAGAGGACGGGCACAGCAGTACTACCCAGAGGCAGAGGTGGAGGACTGGTGCTAGCATGGCTTTAATTTGATTGATTGATGTTTTCCTTTTCTAATCATGATGAGTTTTATCATCTCTTATTTTGCGGGTGGTGTTAAATGCAGTAATACATGTATTTGTTTTAAAATGTCAAGGTGATGAAACCTATACTTGTACTTTTGGCTTAGAAAGCAACAGACGTGAGATCTGTGGGTGTGATCGCTTTACAAACACACAAGATCAACAGTTGATGTGAAAACACTAGTCTTTGCCTTTCTACAGGCAATAGATGCCAAATCGTGCTTGCGTATCCTGGTAAAAGAGTGACCCACTGCTACAAATGTAGACCGCAATGGGCATCTGGCCAGTTTCCTTTAATGCCAGCCTCTGAGATGCACTCCAAATGCAAATATGCCCCTGGTAATGTTATCTTGGCATTCGAAATGTATCTTTTATGGAGCAAAGTCTCAGTTGGAAGTGTAAGCAACGAAACGCACAATAGCTGCGCCCCCTAAGAGAATTACACATTATTTCACACTGTTGTTAAGCAGATTGTTCAGTATGCTGCTGATGACCATTCCTTGCACTTGTATATAACTATGTGCAGAACCTTTGACAACCATAATGTAGTTTGTTTTGTATGAAATTGTTGTAGATATTTTATCTATTCATTATGTGCTTTTTTGTATTGCAAAAACAAAAGGTTTTACGTAAGAAAACAATGCTTACAGCTTCACCATACTGTCAGGTCTACAGATTTTTCTCGACTGCTCCAGATGTTATTTACAAAGTGCCTAACCTTTTGAATATATTGTAGTAGGGATGCAACCTCAGCCTTTTTTAGTGCATCAACACTTAAGAGAGTGAACTGAACAAGGGGTAAAAGGAACTACAAGGTGATCGCAGGCCTTAACTCAGAAGCAAAGATACAGTACCTTTGAATTCACATTAGGTTTTTTCGAATGGAAATGACAGTATGATTGTTTTGGTTTTTTAATTCTCGTCTCCTTTTTTGTACGATTTTAGTACTGAATGGAATATTGAAAATTCCATTACCAATATATTAGTGAACAAAACTGCAGTAGTTGTGTATTTGTCCTGACGGGGACTTTATAACCAGTTATAAAATTGCATGTAAAAAAAAAAAAAAGTCTTCAAGCATTGATTGACCATGGTTACAGAACCGATATTTATGGTGTGTATCTCCTGTCCTGATGAAGATGCTCAAACTGCATTGCTATTTGCCTTCTCTGTTTGATCTTTTACGGTTAGATGGACTGAGAGCTGTCACAAAGCAGTGTGTTTCGCTCGTGTAGCAGCTTTCCCAGTGTGAGCGCGTGTTGTGTTGCGTCGAGTCGGGGTCCTGGCACCGATACAGTAGGCTGATCTGTGTTAAGGTTAAACTTTCCCCCTCATGGCACTCCTCCAAACACCCCCAGACACACATACACACTCACCGCTTTCATTCTGCCGCCGTTCCCCAGCTGCTGGCCGTATAGAAATATGGTCGGCTCCTTTTTATCACGCTGGTAACATGAGAGGAATATTTAGCCACCTGAATGCAGAGGGTGTGGCGGTCTGAAAACACACACACACACACACACACACACACACACACACACACACACACACACACACACACACACACACACACAAAGCCTCTATTGGGACACTGTGCGGTCCAGGATCACTTCAAGAGCATCTGCATTAACATCACATGAATGTGTTGGAGAAGTGTTTGGCTAATCAGGTGATTCTTGGCCACAGATGTGTCAGGACTTTGCAGACAGTGAATGTTCTTTCTTTTTTCATTGTTTTTTTTTTTTTTTTTTAAACATATATTTTCTTTACGTAGGGCTATGCAACGAGATGACACTTTGAAAAATATACTTCATTCATTTTGTAGCTTTACCTGCTGGGATACCCAGATTCAGGCTTTAGCATGATAGTGACCAAATCTTTCTTTCTTTTCTTTTTTATAATAAAAACATCAAAAAATGTATGAAAAACTATATTTTAGAATGCATAATGGCACAATGATTTAAAAAGCAGAAATCAGCAAAAAAAAAAAAAACAGACATTTATATATATATAAAAAATTGCAAGTTTCTGAATGTGCATGCATCAGAGATGTTCAGTTTGTCAGGGGGAAAAAAAGAAGAAATGTTTCAAATCTACAGTCTGAACAACTGCTATTTTTCTACGTACTCTGTGAGACTAAGGTTAAAGGATGTGCTGACATTTTGCTGATATTGTTATGAGTTGTTGCATTGTTCATGTGTAACTATGGAACAAATCTTTGCACTCACAGCACATCCATTGATGTCCTTTGGCATGTTGCCATAGTGGATCAAAACTGTCAATCAATAGATAAACCCATTTATTCAGCTTCTCTCTGATAAAAAAAAGCTCCATCATCTACCAAACCTTTCATAATTTATTGCCAAAATCTAAAACTATCTACTCCCCTGTACATCAACCAAATCTTAAATGTGGCTGTTTCCAGAAAGATTAATGTTTGCATGGTCTTAAACTGTAGGTGCATGTTGAATACCCATGGTTGATCTTCGTACCTTTTGATACTATGTATTCATTTTTTTTGGTTAGATTTTTTAACGACCTTTGATATGAATTAAAGGGTTTGTTGAGCTAAGACAAAATAATAATAATAAATAAATAAATTGTTGAAACATTTATAAATAAAGGAAACAGTATTGAACTTTGTTTACAGCTCCATCCATGCATAAGAGCTGAGACAGCCTTTATTTAATTCTGCTATTGACTTGTTTGTTGCCTGATTTCTGTTCCATGGCCAGACTTTGAAATCTGCAGTTGTTTCTACTATAACTTTTTGTATGAAGCCAAGTCCTTGAATTAAAAAAAGAGCTCAAATAAAAACAGATTTGTGGTTTATTATATATTTGCATTCCTCTGGATGCCTTTTTCCTTTTGTTCTACAAGTTTTTTTTAATGAATGGAGGGGAAATATGACATCTGCAGCAGCAAAATGCCTTTTATTTGTCTATTTTTGTTTGATGACATTGCTGATTGATCAAAGCATTGAAATGTGCACGAGTGGCAAGGTAAATCAGGTTTACACCTGTCTGGAGGCTTGCTGGAATCGGATTCGCTGCTTCATGTAATGTGGGGGGAGTTAAGGGGGATGTTTGGAAGCATGCACTTGGAAAGCAAGACTTCCAGAAGTAGACTGATAACAGATATCAAGCTCAGCACTTCTGTCAACTTCAACACCAGTCACGCCAGCTTTTAGATTAAATATGCATATTGTTTTCCATTAAATATATGTATATTTTCAGTTGATTGTTCATTGTTTACCAGGACGAGAGGAACACTGGTTTTTAAATATGTGGCTGATTTTATCAATGTGTGCACTGGTTAAAGCTTTCCATGCGGACTTCTCGGAAACAGGATCTGGTTCTGCGGACTCAGGTAAGGACAGAGCGGAAACACTTTACCTGCGTTCGTCATTAGTGTAAACAAAAGGTTTCGCTATAGTTTAATATTAATAATTTGCAGATGTTATTTTATTATAATGTGAAGTATTAAAAAGAAAAATGTCCTAACTCACTTACACGTTTTACTTTTTAATTCATTTATTAACCACTTGAAACTGACGTCCAGGTTAATTAATAACCTGTTAGAGTAGGTCAGGTAGCCTACATAAAGACTCTTAATAGACTACAAATTATCAAAGTCTATGCTTGCGTTGTTTGTGGACATTTTAAGAACATGTTATTTCATTTTAAAACATTTTGATGTGTTTTATCGTCTATTATCCCGAGGGGGCGATGTGGTAACTCTTATACACGTTTAAAACTTCCACATTTTAGACTATTTCAGGCTAGAATTAACTCAAATTACTTATAAGCGCTCTTCAGTGTTCGGACTTTCAGCAGTGGAAGTTAAACCACACTGCTGAACCAAACTGAACAACGCTTAAAAACTAACACCGTTTCAATTTACTACAATCTTCTATGTGGAGCTACTTTGACTCAATCTACATTGTAAAAGTGCTATAGAAAAAAAGATGAATTAAATTGAATTATTAGTGGTACATTATGTTGATGATAAAACTCAAGGCATAATTGTGCTGTCAACAGCTGTTGAACATATTTCTTTGTGAAAAGCATAACCACATTCAAGTTCTCTACATTTTTCCTGAAATCTGTTCCACAGTCGTATACCACCATGTCACAAATTGTGCTTAAAAACGCCCATATGTGCAGGGAATCTGATTTAAGGTTTCTAATTGAGCTTATGTTACAAACGTTTCTCATGGGCCCTGTTTCAGCCACCTGTCTCATTGAATGGTGTCTGTCTTCTCAGTGGTTTGGAGAACATTCTGGGTAATCTGGGGATTATTAAAGTGAGTCTGCAGAACCCATTATGTGATTAGAGTAGTAATATGTTTTACAACAGTGAGTAAAATGTGCCATTCATGACTGTGTTCTTTATCTATTCATTGAATTTGCTGGATTTTGATTACAAGGGCTCCTAAACCGCTTCCACCTGTAATATTTTCAGATTACTGAGTTAGATGCTGTAATTCGTTACTTGGGGTGACCCCTAATAAATAAGGGACTAAGCTGAAGGAAATTTAATGAATGAATGAATGAGTTAGATGCTGTACATGAGATGTTTCTAAGCCTTGAGTCACATCATAGAAGAGTTCAGAGATGACTGAGAATGGTCTGGTCTCTGTGTTGTAGTTTTTGGGGCATGTTCTCGTTTTACTGGAAGCACAGCTTGCTTTTATTTGATCATGTCTAACTTTCAGACTGCGCATATGTCTTTTTAAAGGCCCTGTCTGATTGAAGTAAAGTATCATTGTCTTTACTATGGTCAGGTAATAATGCATCTTGTCATTTTCTGTCTTTTTGGCAAGGATATTCAACAAGAGGTAAATGTTTGATCTTGAATATTGAAAAGGGAAATCATGCATATTTGAAATTGACGGCAGCGTGGTTGTTCAGTGGTTAGCACTGTTACATAACTGGTTCGAGTCCCGGCTGGAACAGTTGGCATTTCTGTGTGGAGTTTGCATGTTCTCCCCATGTTGGCGTGGGTTTCCTCTGTGTGGTCCGGTTTAACCCACAGTCCAAAGACATGCGGGTATAGAGGAATTGAATAAGCTAAATTGGCTGTAGTGTATGTGTGTGAATGTGTATGGATTTTTCCCGGTACTGGGTTGCAGCTGGAAGGGCATCAACTGCATAAAACAAATCCTGGATTCATTTCACTGTGGTGACCCCTGATAAATAAAGGGTTAAAGCCGAAAGAAAATTAATGAATAAATGTTGAAATGGACTAAATAAATCTAACTTAATGTTATAGTGAAAATTTTATATGAAAAGCTTGGGTTCATCAAGATTTTTATCAAATAAATCTATAGCAGTTAAAAATGGCAGCATTCTTATTTAATATATTTGAAAAATCTATTCGAAAATTAAAATGATTAATGATGAAAAAGCAGATTTTTCCCCTCTAACAAGTAGCAATTACTTTATTAAGCCATTCTAATATGATGCTCATTTCTGATTATTATCAGTATATTCAGGCAATTGCATAAAGAAATGTTAAAATCTTTAAACAATATTGATTTACATACTTTCACTTTTGACCCATATAATATTTGAGGAATATAAGTATTAATTAAGTGTTGTTGGGAAAAAGGAATATATATAAATAAATAAATATATATATATATATATATATATATATATATATATATATATATATATATATATATATATATATATATATATATATATATATATATATATATATATATATAATTTTTTTATTTTTTTAAAGGAACTTTTCCTTTTCATTAAACAATTGTATTTGTATTGCTTAAAGGTAATATATTAACTGAACTTCTTCTGTTGAGTGTGATATGCTTTGCATACAAATAAAGCCTTTTTTGCAGAAGTACATGAAGCTGTTATAAATGCAAAGTCGGATTGTCTAATCAGCTAAACTTCCTGTCAGCAGAAATGTGTTGATACTGAACACAGAATATGTGCAGTTTAGAAAGTCTTATGCTTTTAATGTTGTGCAGAGAATTCGTAGAAAAAGAGGATGCATGTATGGGTGCGGCCAATGGAGGACTGGAGAATGATTGACGTGACGAATTCCACTAAACTCCACCTGTTAATATCAGCTGCCTATAAAAGCGTGAATCAGGAAATAAAATATGTTGCACACCTTCTGAATGTAACTCCTGCATTGCATTGAGGATAACAGAATTCTGTGAATCGAATCATTCATTTGTATCCAATAAATTACAAATACTTTTGACATTGAAAAAATAACCTCTCCTGACTTTTTTATTAAATACGCATGAAATTGAATAAACATTCCAGCAGTATTTAAATTTTAAAACCCAGATTTTTTAATTGTAATGAAATAAAATCTATAACATTTTTGCTTCCTGTGTGAACCTCTTTTACTTTATTCTAATGACACTCATCCGCTGTTAGCCAAGCATGTCTCTACTCCATCATTACAGTGAGAACATCAGCTGTACTGTATGCATGATGTCACAGTGTTAATAGACAGATTGGCTGTCAAATGCAAGGCTACGGTCTGTTTGCTCTGAACACAATCCTTTCTTTCTTCTCATTTTGACTGTAAATCAAAGCTCTGGTGCGTCTGTCTCTGCAACACCGCTTCAGGCAGCGAGCTATAGTTGCAGACATAATTAATGTTGTCTCTGATTGATAACCATGACTCTGGTGAGCAGCCAGGGTGAAACAAGCCCCCTAAACCTTGCAGATGATTTGTCTGGAGGCCGGTGCATTGCTTTAATGTACAGTAAGGTAAATGCAGGCTGGCTGTCTGGGCTGCAGCCGTGGAGACTAGACCTAATCTGGACAGTGTTACCCTTATCATTTCACATCAGTAGCCAAGAAGCAGAGAGCTCAATCTGCGCTTTGGTAAAATGTGCACATGACTTCACTAAGCTGTATGCTTTTTAAACTCTGAGTATCATGGTGAATACTAAGAAATTCTTTCATTATAGAATTAAAGGTTTAGTTCACCCTAAAAGGAAAATGATGTCATAATATACACACCCTTGTCACTCAAAACCAGATGACTTGAAAATGTTTTAATGAATTTTTAGAGGTTTCATTCCCACCACTGAAAGTCAATTCACCCAAAACTCTGATGCATGTAAATGTCTGTTAAGTGAGTAAATAAATAAATAGAATCCACATGAATTAAGCAATTTATTCCAAGTCTTTTGACACCATGTCCTTTTTTATGAAGAACATATTTAATTAAGCCTTTTATTTTCAAATCTATACTGATGATCGGTCATCTATACTTCATTGAAAGTAAGTATATTTGCTTGATCTGGGAAAACAAACTACTCTGGTTCTAGTGAAAACTTAAATTCACTGGCATGATTCACAAGAATGAACTTAATTGGGTCTCGCATGTCTCACAACCATCTGCTACAGTATGCAAATGCGTTTTGCACTTTTTGCAATTTTTAAGTTGTATTCACTCAGATTTATTGTTACTTTTGTTGATCGGTTTAGTGACTTGCTGTATTATGACATCTGTTCTACTCAAAATGACACATTCATACTCAACCATTGTAACATTTGTATTTAAGTACCCTCATTACCTCTGTTGTCTAGGCATGTTATAATATAGACTGTACAAGATGTCTACTGTTATTTTCCCTAAACTCTGCGTACCTGGTATCGGGTCTGTGATGTAATTTACTTCAGCTTTCTTTACATTTTAAACATCCATACTGGCCCAATTCCCCCATAAGTGGTTCCTTTCTTTCATCAGTTGGAATTGAATAACATTTGCACAGATTACGATAGAGACATTTTTATTTTTTCCTTTGATTATTGACTTGTACAGGAACCAACTAAATTAATTACAACAACCTAGACCACACAGAACCTAAAAGGTATACTTTCAAATTTGAGTTGATGTAATATATAATTATTTTAATCACTTTCAACAGTGTTTTAGGGTAAATGTAAGGGTTTTCTTTAATATTATACCAAACTTTTGCATTTACATGTGGATTTGGGAAGCTTTTTAATTTGGTTAGGCAAAATCCAGGTGGAAACTTGACTTTAAGAGGTTAAATGTTTTTATCTAAACACTTCAAAAGCTTTGCTTAATTCAATGCCACATTACGTGAGTACAACTTACAAAGTAAGAGAGAGAGTACTAATCCAACCTAAAATAATTCATAGAGTTATTCATAGAGTCATGAATTGGGTGACTTCTCTAGTGCATCAGAATTGTGAGTAATGCACTGTAGTACTTGTCTTGTAATTCAGAATTTACATTGCAAACATGATTAATTGTCTTGTACTGACTTGTAACATTGATGATTAATAATGTCAGTTCTTATGGCATGTCTTTTTTTGTGGGGAGTGTGTAGCGGCCTGCAT